TACCAAAGCACAGAGCATGATCGATAAGATGAAGTTTGAACAGCGTTGTTTCATCTTCGATATCAGCTGACTTCGGGATTGTAATTAAAATATTTCGAGCATTTCGATCAACATTTTGTATTATATGATCGAATAGATACATGCTACCCAAGATTGGATCAGTCAAAAGTTTTTTTCTTCTCTGTTTTGGTAAGTGGAGAAATGTAACACATTTTTCATCGTCATGCGCAACATCTACGTGTAAAGTAACGAGTTTCTCTTCGTGAACAGCGATTTGTACTTCATTGATCGGAAGGCCGATTTGCAGTCCGATGGCATAAGCTAACCATTCATTTGCAGCACATATTGGAAGATCTTGTGTTTTAACTAAAACTCGTCGACCTTTGGGATTACGCATCCATATCGACGGACTATTAAATCCTGCATCTTCGTTTACACCTTCGTATTTCCAATCTGATGTGATTTCGATAAACGGCGTTTTGATTGAATGATCTGTTGGTTGTTGTTCAGTGGCTTTTCGTCGAACTGCCTCGATAATTGTTTCTTGAACTCGTCGCCCTTTTGCCAAAGCATCAGCTAATGACAGCGGACCTGTCGCGACGATTTTGAAAGGACCACGTAAACAACTAACGATGTTATTAGCAAGATGAATTTTTGTGTCAATCTGCGGTCTTTTATTCGGATCAATAGGCTCCTCTTCGTTCTCCGAATCGTTTTCATCGTTATTCAAGTCGAGTACTGCAGGACTCATTTGTCTGATAAGCAAAGATGATATTGATCGTGAGCTGTTCGACGATGACCTGTGGAAACTATTCGGACTGGCAGGATAAGATTGTGAATGATCACTCGTAGGTGTATATATGACGTTCAATAGAGGACATGATAATTTCTTATTGTGATTATTAATTTCTTGTAGTTTCAATTTCTGTTCATCAATGTCTTTTGTTAATTGTTCAATTTTTGCATTTATGCCATCGTCATGATGATTTGTTATTTGGTTTAAATGTTCTCGCCAATCGTCGGGTTCGTCATTGATACCATCGTGAATATCCTGTTCGATTTTTCGAATTGATTTTTCAATTTCGTCCGATTTCATTTGGAATTCATACAGTTCTTTCAACAGCTTAATGATATTGTCGGCTGATAATCCAGATATCGACGATTTGAAACTTTGTCGCAATAATTCTTGACTTTGAAGCGCATATTCAAATTTTTCTTGAAGTTTCGTCTCTTGCTCATCATCATCGCATGTATTGTTTTGATTTGCACTTACTTTTCCTTCGTCACTTGTTGAGTCTTCGGTAGAACCCATCATCGAAAATAAAAATATCGAAATGAAAGACAAAAGAAAACGTTCTGTACATTGCCGATTGACGATAACGTCATGATACACGTCATTGAAACACGCACGTGTAAACTATTATGCACTAAATCGATAAGACGGGTATTTGAGTGTACGAAATTGAGAGAGGTAGAAAAAACGCCTTGAGTAAGATCATCGCCTTATCTTTTTTTATTGGTTATACAATAATGAGCAAATCATAATTACACTCATGATTCTACAAACGGATTAATTAATGGGCTTTTGACTTGGCGGTCACGAGGTGCAAACTATTCGATGAATAGAATAGTTCTACCTTTGCGAAGCCGAAAAGTTAATGAGAAAGATTCATCGTTGATGAATTAAAATGAGTATTCAACGAGAAAACCTTGCATACCGCTTAATTTATCTTAAACTTCGAGAAACAAGTCAAAGAGAAAAGGGATTTGATCAAATTTTCTGGCACGATCATTCAGTAATGTTACGAAGCTCCTTTCTTACAACATATCGACAATGTTGATAAAACTTATCGTATGCTGGATCATTAATAACAATACCAAGTGAATACCTAATGTCCTTAAAGATGATCGACTATAATAATCATTGATACTCTAATATTTTATTCACACAATAAAAATTTCCCTTGCATAGACTAAAAACAAAAGCTTATCGTCGTTCGATTCACGGTACATTCAGAACGTGAACGAATTTCATTTTTAATGTGTTTTACACGAAGCCAACACGCAGTGAATCAATCGCTGGTGAAGACATTTTCTTTCGCGTCCCCCTTCCTCCTCCCAAAATATTATGGTATAATTGTGCATGTGTTTCCAAAGCAACTGGAATCAGACAGCTGATGCCAATGTTGTACTTTTTTATCTTTTCCATTTCGAGTCATTAGACGGACTGGGGATGGAGGAACGGTTCATTGCGAGATTCTTCATTCGGTTCTCTTGTACTTGGTAATCAGTTTGTCCAGCCATAGCCGACAGAAAATAAACTTACCCGATGAATACTACTGAAATCGAAAAGAAAATACATCAGATGAGCAAATATATCGAACATAAATGGAAAACTTGTTATCTAATTAATACTGGTATAGATGACATAAGACTTGGTTGATTAAGCGGACTTTATTATATATCGAACCGCTTAACGATGGAGCATGTTTAATAAAACGTAATATTGCCCATGAAATTGTTTCCGCAACATCTTCATAGACAAATCGTCATCATTATTATTTTCATCGAGTCAATTTATTGAACAAACAAAAAAGAGCTTCATTAAAACGATGAAATAAAAACCCACACGTATACGTGTAGGGAAAGTTTTCTTTTAAAACTACAAGAAATTTTTTAGCATGTCTGAACATAAATGTTCAAGCTGTCACTAGCTCGATTTGCTACAGCAAAATCCACTTTTCCATCTTTACTAAAATCGCCAGTTACAGCCGCAAATGGATCCGATCCATAAGGCATCGGGTATGAGAGCATGTCGTCAAATGTTCCATCGCCTCGACCAAGAAATACTCCAAATCTATTGTTGTTATAATTAACAACAATGATATCAAGATTGGTATCATTGTTAAAGTAGTCAAGGGCTAACGAAGAGGGAGACGAGGATGAACCGGTTGAATAGGTTGTTTGATTGGGAGAGAATGAACCGTTTCCATTGCCCGAAAATATCTCGATAGTATCAGAGAGAAAATCAGCGACGGCTAGATCTAAGTGATTGTCATGATTAAAGTCGCCACTTGCTATAGAATATGGAGATGATGCTGAACCTGTTGAATAGACGGTTCGATTTGTAAATGAAAAATTACCGTAGCCAAGAAAGACACTGATAGTGCTGTTGTATGGATTAGCGACAATGATGTCCGTGTAATTATCATGGTTAAAATCATTAATGGTAAACGATGGTGATTTAGAACTGTAGTCAATCGATAGAGTGGTTTGCTTCCAAAAAATAAGGTTTGAAAAGCCATACCAGACAGTAACGGTGTTATCACCTGCGTTCGCGACGATAATATCAAGTTTAGCGTCATTATTTAGATTACTAGCAACAATAAACCGCGGACTAGAACCAGTTTGATATGTGATTTGAGGCGCGAATTGTCCATCACCATATCCCAAGAGAACACTAAGATAATCGCTACCAACATTGGCGGCAACTATATCTGAGAATCCGTCATTATTACAATCACCAATTACTACTGATTGTGGAAGAATACCTACTGAATACATGATTTTATTCTGGAAAGATCCATCGCCGTTTCCTAGCAGAATTGTCACTGTACGGTAGCTTATAGTGCCTACAACAATGTCTAATTGGCCGTCATCATTTAAATGCCCAGCTGCTAATGTGAATGGACTCGTGTCCACTGAAAACGTAGCCTGTGGTGTAAATGACCCATTACCATAGTTCAGAAAAATTCCAACATTATCAAAATCATAGTTAGCAACAGCAAAATCCAGATAAGTATCGTTGTCAAAATCAGCGACTAAAATGTAGCGTGGAGGAGAATAATCTGAGTCGATAGTTTCAGATGCGAACGAGCCATTACCGTAACCTCGTAACACAATTACTCCATCGGACGATCCCACAAGTATATCAAGGTTTCTATCGTTGTCAAAATCACCCACAGCCGTAGGCGTTGAAGTATAGCCAATTGTAATTGTCATCAGAGCTTCAAAGGATCCATTACCGAATCCTAGAAATAGAGCAAGGTGTTCAGTCTCATCAGTGGTAACAATTAGATCGAGCCGATCGTCGTTGTTGAAGTCGCCGACAACTGCAGAAGTTGGACTGTTTTCAACCGAATATGTTGATTCGTATTGAAAACTACCGTTCCCAACTCCTAAGAAGACGCTTACGCTGTCAGAATCATAGTTAACAACCATCATGTCAGCATAACTGTCGTTATTTATATCTGCTAGGGCTATAAACCGTGGATTTATTCCAACTAAATATGTCTGCGGATCTGCAAACGATCCAGAATTGAGCACAGTAAATATATCGATTTTATCACTATCATCGTATCCAACAACAATTTCTGTTCGTCCATCATTATTAAAATCTCCAGAGGAAATAACGAACGGACGAGATTCAGAAGGAAACTGGTAGGTTTTTTGACGGATGAAAGATCCTCGACCATCTCCAAGTAAGATTCCAACTTGGCGAGGACCAGAAAGGGCTACTGCAATATCTAATTGAGAATCATCATCGAAATGACCAATAGCAACTGATGTAGGTTGAGAATCCGATTCCATGTCAATCGTGAGTCGATTGAGAAAGGTCTCATTGTCAGTACCAAACAGAATTGAAATATCATCAGTACCATAATTTGCAACAACCATGTCTAATCGAGTATCGTTATTCAGGTCACAAATGGCCATTGACTGTAATATAGAACCACCACCAGATGCATATATTAAGTCGGTTGCCATAGTACCTGTATCAGACTGGAGTAATATACTTACACTGGTACCACTATTGGCTGTTAGAATTAAGTCCAGCCGTTTATCGTTATTCAAATCTCCAACTGCTACAGATTGTGCGTGTGCGTGCACACGATATGACACTGCAGTTTCGAACAAACCATTACCGAGTCCACATAAAATGTACACAGTTGTCACTCCAGAACAGCTGACAATAAGATCTAATCGTGTGTCATTATTTACATCGGCAATAACTATCCATGCTGGTGAGGTACCCACTCCATATGTAACCTGTGTTGCAAAGGTACCGTTACGATCTCCTAACATAACACTCACCGTACCGCTTTTAGAATTAGCAACAACAGTATCCATTCGACTGTCATTATTCAAGTCAGCAACCGCTACAAAGCATGGGCGTGTACCAGTTCCATATGTTGTTGGATTTCCAAAACTTCCATTGTTATATCCTGCAAGAACAGTTATAGTTTTGTTACTATAGTTGACAACAACCAGGTCGACTTGATTATCATTATTAAAGTCACTTATTGCTACGCAATATGGCCTATAACCACTTGAGTATCTTCGTTCAGTTGTAAAAGTGCCGTTGCCGTATCCTAAGAAGACGCTCACGCTACTGCTACCATAATTGGCAACAACAATATCCAGACGGTAATCGTTGTTAAAATCACCAACAGCTGCGAACACTGGCTCGGAGCCCGTTAAATAGTTCGATGGAGTTTCGAAAGTACCGTCACTATTACCAAGATATACACATATATTATGACTATCACGATTGACAACAACCACGTCTATATTTGTGTCGTTATTAAAGCCACCCATTGCTAAGGAATATGGATTTTCGTTCGTTGCATAGAGATCCGGACTTTGGAATGTTCCATTACCATATCCAAAAGACACCATCATCATATCATCTGTATTACTAAGAAGTATCATATCTAATATTCCGTCATAGTTGAAGTCATTGACAGCTACAGTCGTCGAATTGTACCCAACATCGTGCTTTGCGTATGATGGAAAACCTGCAAAATATCCTTTGAGAAGTTCAATACTTCCGGTGTCATTACTAACGACGATTGCATCCAACCGATTATCTTTATTATAATCACATAAAACAAACGAGATAGACGAAGTAGATCCAGTTGTGTTCATCATTGCATTGGAAAAACTACCATCACNTAAACCCTTTAAGGGTATATGAATCAGCGCATTTTTTATTCAGTGTACTTGAGTAAATAAGTGCAGCAGGTTGGATGTAATCAGTTTGTCCAGTCATAGTTGACAGAAAATAAGCTTACCCAATGATTACTACTGAAATCGAAAAGAAAATACATCAGATGAACAAATATATCGAACATAAATGGAAAACTTGTTATCTAATTAATACTGGTATAGATGACATAAGACTTGGTTCATTAAGTGAACTTTATTATATATCAAACCGCTTAACGATGGAGCATGTTTAATAAAACGTAATATTGTACATGAAATTGTTTCCGCAACATCTTCATAGACAAATCGTCATCATTTTTACTTTCATCGAGTTAATTTATTGAACAAACAAAAAAAGAGCTTCATTAAAACGATGGAATAAAAATCCACATGTATACGTGTAGGGAAAGTTTTCTTTTAAAACTACAAGAAATTTTCTAACATGTCTGAACATAAATGCTCAAACTGTCACTAGCTTGATTTGCTACAGCAAAATCCACTTTTCCATCTTTACTAAAATCGCCAGTTACAACGGCAAATGGATTCGATCCATAAGGCATCGAGTAGGAGAGCATGTTGTCAAATGTTCCATCGCCTCGACCAAGAAATACTCCAAATCTATTGTTGTTATAATTAACAACAATGATATCAAGATTCGTATCATTGTTAAAGTAATCAAGGGCTAACGAAGAGGGAGACGAGGATGAACCGGTTGAATAGGTTGTTTGATTGGGAGAGAATGAACCGTTTCCATTGCCCGAAAATATCTCGATAGTATCAGAGAGAAAATCAGCGACGGCTAGATCTAAGTGATTGTCATGATTAAAATCGCCACTTGCTATAGAATATGGAGATGATGCTGGACCTGTTGAATAGACGGTTCGATTTGTAAATGAAAAATTACCGTAGCCAAAAAAAACACTGATAGTGCTGTTGTATGGATTAGCAGCAATAATGTCTGTGTAGTTATCATGGTTAAAATCATTAATGGTAAACGATGGTGATTTAGAACTGTAGTCAATCGATAGAGTGGTTTGCTTTCCAAAAATAAGGTTTGAACAGCCAAACCAGACAGTAGCGGTGTTATCACCTCCGTTCGCGACGATAATATCAAGTTTAGCATCACCATTTAGATCACTAGAAACGATAAACCGCGGACCAGAACCAGTTTGATGTGTGATTTGAGGTGCGAATCGTCCATCACCATATCCCAAGAGAACACTAAGATAATTGCTACCAACATTGGCAACAACTATATCTGAGTACCCATCATTATTATAATCACCAATTACTACTGATTCTGGAAGACTACCCACTGAATATATGATTTTCTTTCGGAAAGATCCATCGCCGTTTCCTAGCCGAATCGTCACTGTACGATGGCCTATAGTACCTGCAACAATGTCTAATCGGCCGTCATCATCTAAGTGCCCAACTGCTAATGTGAATGGATTCGTGTCCACTGAAAACGTAGCCTGTGGTGTAAATGACCCATTACCATAGTTCAGAAAAATTCCAACATTATCANAAATGAATCCTTATTGAAATCAACTAGATGAAGTGATAGTGGTCGTGAGATTCCTGTTGATATTTCGATTTGATCTTGAAACGATCCATTCCCGAATCCATAGAAGATTCCAATAGTATGACTGTTATAATTTGCGACTGCAATATCTAAATATGAGTCATTATTGAGATTATCGACTGCAGCCATTATCGGATGGGAGTTGATGCCAGTTGAATACTCGTATTCTTTGACAAAAGTTCCATTCGAATTTCCAAAATGAACTCCAATTCGACTAACAATCGAATTGACAATGACCATATCGATCCAAGTATCCAGATTAAAGTCACCGATGGCAACGGATACTGGTCCATAATTATATTCAATGGGATTTGTTCCCGTTCGCACGAAATTTAATCCGCATGTCGATACTAAAACAGAATGTCATTTCGAATTCCGCTACGTGGATAATCTACCTTTCGGTTTTGGTGCGTTTAAGCAAACGATGATAATTCCAATAGCCATCATGATACAAATAGATGTAGAAGATAAGAAGATAAGAAGAATGCCTCTCGGTATTCCAAAAATGGAACGTTTTCTGAAGAAAAAGTATTGAAATTTGAATTTAAAGAAAAGGAAAAACGCACAGCTCCAACGAAGTGTTCGAAATGCTGAGTTGATCCTTGTCTTTTGTTTCATCATAGGAATCGGATGTAGACTGTGCGTTCGAAAATAGTTCAGAGTTGTTATGCATTGGGAAGTCAGCAACGCCACGTTCTACCGAAGTAATGTGTCGATCAGTAGTGAGCATTTCAATCTAAATGGAATAGACTTAAAGATGTACCACAATCATATTCGAATAATGTTTCATACCTGATCCATAGTATACCGTTCGACAAATGGATACTATTAAGTGACAAAAATACCGTCTTTCTTAGTCGTTTATAGGTAGAGATAAATATATGATCTACAAGTACATTTCGACCTCGTCTATACAGTCATAGTGAGATATATGAAAACTCAGTATAAGACAATGAAATATTCGGTTGATATATTTTTATGGTTGATCTGTATTTCATCTTTTCGTTTTCTTGGAACGTGAATGGGCAAACTTGGAATGCAACTAGGGATAAAACAATTCTAAAGTCTTGAGATTGAACTTTAGCTTTGTTCTCTTTGAGTTTATATCCGAGTTTGAGTGTTGAATGCTCAAAGTACAGATCTCTCTAACAGTGAGAATCCTTGCCACACAGAGGATGGTAAACAACTCCATCAACTATAGTTCCATCATCGCTTCAAACTCAAATAAAAAATCAAAATCCATACCAGCATTAACTCCATTCCTACCTTAATAATTGATTGCAAGTCAAATCGAATAATTGTACACCGCTTTACATGATGCTTTCGAAAGGATCGTAACAAAACAAAAGGTTCCTATGAAACGCTGTCTATAACACTCACATACATTTTCGAAAGAGCGCAATTTTAAATCCGGACTCTATCACGCACATCCACGTGATATAATAAGCATGCCTTCTACACCTTTTTCAATTGTGAAATGAGGCGCAAACTCACGTATAATTTGATACAAACACATAATAAGATAATAACTATTTATCATTTTTTTGTGATGTATAAACGTTACGGTGTGTTCTATCGAGAAAAAATGGGATAAACATATTAATTACTGGCGAATGCGCCGACGACGAAGACATCTAGTTTCAACTAGCAAACGTCTAGAAGTGAATATTGCCGTAATTATTGAAAACAGGTACTATGTTCAGTTATGTATTTAGTTTTCATACAGAGCCAGTTCCATATTCGACAGATGGCGTGCGTGTATGACATGTACTGTGGATTCTATTGAATAATGTCGAAAGTAGAAATATCGAATACGCCAATTATACAAACATCGAAAGATGAACAAGGTGCGAATGGTTTAGTTTGAGAAAGGCATTGTTCTTCACCCTCACCCTCAATCTTACACATCTATCTGCGCTCTCATTTTTGTTTTCGATGGTTTGATTTTCGATATTTTAACATTTCGATCAATTTCAGGTTAACCGTTGAATAGGAGTTGCTGATGAGTAGGAGAGTTCTACCTTCGCAAAGTTGAAAAGTGAGTGAAAAATATTCATCGTTGAGAAAGTAAAGCGGGAATAATCAATGACAAAATTTTGAATACTTTTTAACTTTTCTTGAGCCTGAATAAAAAAGTCGAAGAGAATTATATTTGATCAATCGATCATTATGCATACCTGAATAGGATCCGTGTCTTTCAATAAGGGTATTCCTTTGTATCCATTGATTTGATCTGACACGATTGTTGGGTAGAGTTGCAAAGATCTCTTCGTAGATCAGTGTATTTTTTCTTGTGACATCTCGAAAGTATCGATAAAACTTATCGCACACCGAATCATTGATATGAATCCCAAATGGAATTTTGAATTGGANACCTGATCCATAGTATACCGTTCGACAAATGGATACACTTAAGTGACAAAAATACCGTCTTTCTTAGTCGTTTATAGACGGAGGTAAATACATGATCTATAAGTACATTTCGACCTCGTCTATAGGATCATGGCAATGGCAAGGTATATGAAAGCTGAGTACTAAACACTGAAATATTCGGTTGATATATTTTTATGGTTGATCTGTATTTTCATCTTTTCGTTTTCTTAGAACGTAAGTGGGCAAACTTGGAACGTAACTAGGGATAAAACAATTCTAAAGTCTTGAGATTGAACTTTGGCTTTGTTCTATGAATTTATATTCGAGTTTGAGTGTCGAATGTCCAAAGTACAGATCTCTCCAACAGTGAGAATCCTTGTCGTACAGAGGATGGCAAACAGCTCTATCAACTACAGTTCTATTGCCACTCCAAACTCAAATGAAAAATCGAAATGCCTACGAGCGTTAACTCCATTCCTATCAGTAGAACAGTAATATCCATTCCTACCGTCATAATTGATTGCAAGCCAAATCGAATAATGGTACACCGTTTTACATGATACTTTCGAAAGGGCGCAGTTTTAAATCCGAACTCTATCACGCGCATCCACGCGATATAATAAGCGTGCTTTCTACGCCATTTTTTGATTGTGAAATGAGACGCAAATTGACGTATAATTTGATACATATACATAATAAGATAGCTGTTTACCCTTTTTTTTGTCATGCATAAACGTTATGGTGTGTGCTCTCGCGAAAAAAATGGGATAAAAATATTAATTACTGACGAATCCACCGATGAGGAAGACACCTAGTTTCAGCTAGTAAACGCCGATAAATGAATATCGCCATAATTATTGAAAACGGGTACTATGTTCAGTTATGTATTTAGTTTTCATACAGAGCCAGTTTCATTAGACAGATGGCGTGTATGTACGGCATTTACTGTGTAAGTGGCATTCCATATGTTGGTAATCGGAGAAAAATCGGTCGTAGAGCTGAAGAGCACACTGATAATTTACCGACTGTAGAAAGGCAGGATCCTACTGAATAATGTCGAAAGTAAAAATATCGAATTTAAAAAGATCGAAAATAAAAAAATATCGAATACGCCAATGATACAAACATCGAAAGATGAAATAACAAAGTGCGAATGATTTAGTTTGAGAAAGGCATTGTTCTTCACTCACACCCTCAATCTTACACATCTATCTGCACTCTCATTTTTGTTTTCGATGGTTTGATTTTCGATATTTTAACATTTCGATCAATTTCAGGTTAACCGTTGAATAGGAGTTGTTGATGAGTAGGAGAGTTCTACCTTCGCAAAGTTGAAAAGTGAGTGAAAAACATTCATCGTTGAAAAAGTAAAGCGGGGATAATCAATGACAAAAATTTGAATACTTTTTAACTTTTCTTGAGCCTGAATAAAAAAAAGTCAAAGAGAATTATATTTGATCAATCGATCATTATGCATACCTGAATAGGATCCGTGTCTTTCAATAAGGGTATTCCTTTGTATCTATTGATTTGATCTGACACGATTGTTGGGTAGAGTTGCAAAGATCTCTTCGTAGATCAGTGTATTTTTTCTTGTGACATCTCGAAAGTATCGATAAAACTTATCGCACACCGAATCATTGATATGAATCCCAAATGGAATTTTGAATTGGATACCTAACAGCATTCTGAGGGAAGTTTGTCAGTAAAACTCATTCATTAGCCAGAATTTTATTAACTTACGAAAAGATTTTCTTTCACCAACTAGAACAAAATCGTCCGACTCGAACAGATTGACCATTGAATCGAGCTTGTTTTGTTTCAACATCAGTTATTATTGCACATATTTCACTATCCCGATCCCCAAGTATAACGATCGATCACTGATATTTGCGCTGCCGCAGATTGCCATGCGATCGTCCATAATCATTATTGTCGAATGAACATAGATGATTTCTGCTACCTTCATACATTTAGTGAGACATCGCATTACTTTATTTATCACACTTACGAGATCACCCAGGAGAATGTCATGATTACGCATTCCGAAAAAATTGATATAATCGAGAATTGAAATACCTGAAACGAACTTAGAGAAGCAATCGAAGAAGATGGTATTTGACCAGCGTTTTCTAATCGACTGAATAGTGAACCTTCGTCTTTCGTAGTTGAACACATGATAAAGTAAAGTTCATTCAGTACAGATGAAACATCATTGAAGCCGGGCAAGAGAGGAAGAACAATATAAACTCGAAACTTTTTTTGAGTCCTGATGAATAAAACATAAGGTACGATTTAAAAGAAAAACTAAGTTTATCTTTACTGATGTGCTCGAACTATTCGTTGATGAAGATTGTCATCGATTAGGTTATGGATATCCGCATGTGAGCCAGTAACGAAAAATTGATTCTTAAAAATACAATAACAAAAACGGACTATATCGAGGAACTTGTTCGCTATTATAGACAGTTCGATGAATATGTAATGTTGGACAGCTTGGATCATTTCTATGTGAGCGCTATGAACGGAGGCTTCGGTGATTTTTACATCTGATGGCCATGGTCCCTTTGCTCGAATACACTAAACATCGACTCGGAAAGGATTACTCTCGAGAAATGCTTTCCAGTTCGTGTCATTAAGCTCGTTTTCGTCATCATAAGTTTTCGGTAGTAGAAACGGATACGAATTATTCCCATGGTATTTTACTTTTCTCGTTTTTTTTTCATTTCATTCAGAATAGGTAAACGAAGACGTAAACGATAGATTAACCTTCATTATACTTTTCAAGTGACTGAAATGGTTTCACATAAAGATCGACATAATCTTTTCCGATGAAATATCGATTTTTTTCTATTGACGAAAAGCAAATCCGATAGCACTTCATGTGTTCCTTCGATTACGTCATCTTCCGTTGTTCCTTACAGAAATAGACCTAACATAGTATTGCACTCAAGGTTTGCCTTTTTTGCGGTATAATTGAAGTTCTAATGTTTTCGTCACCTAGGCCAACGTGGTTGAGAAAAAGAGGTAAATGTGTAATATTCTACCGTAGTTATATCTCCACTCACCGCATATACTCATCATCCCATCAGTCAAATCATAGATCGATTTGACTGAGAAATGCAACTTTCTGATGGGACCATAAGAGAACTGCGCGTTTTGTATGTAGACCATCCAAGTCCATATTAAATGGCGCATCTTTGTAAACAATCGCGTGCACACTGACACCTGCATCCTGCGATATTCAAAGAGAACAATCAGATTAGTCGATGAAAGGCAAAGGCGGCATACAGCAGTTTTTCCTAAGAGAATATCTAATCGAAATATCTCGTTTTCCGATAGTTTGTCGATGACTGTGATTTAGATATAATCGTGAAAAATGTCTACCTACGTACCGATCGAGCAAAAGTGCGTAGTATCACGATATATAGGTACTTATATATGCATAAAAATGAAGACAATACCGATGGTGAAAGTTGTTGAAGATCAACCCAATCATTTGTCAATACACCCGTTCTTTTGAAAGTAGGCAAGAGCATATTTTTGTGCTGCACTTCTACGAAATAAGCTTAGCTTCATCATAATCATGATACAGCTTGATTAGTGCGCGTCAATGTTATCGCAGATACTGATATCTACACTAGGTGGGTGAAAATAAAAACGCTTCGAATTGAGAGCTTCAGTATAGTTTTACAAAAATGTATCGAGTTGTCTCTCTTTCGCCAAAGGAGACTTTCTCCCTAAAATTTCTCCCTCTGAAGAATATGAAACGAAAGTGTTGTCTACATCAAGTACATAGATGAGTAGTGATTTTGATAGAGAGGTGGATATACAAGTATCATCAATGTCATAAAAATAAGCAATACTATCATATATGAACAAGTAAAATACATCCTGCCAGATCTGTTTAAATTTCGAAAGTATTGGCATGCTTATTTGGACAGCTTGCATCTGAGTGCCATTGATAATGAGACACTCATATTCATAAAACCTCACGTTCGTTCTTAAAAAAATGAAGTAATTTGTTTCTTGCTGTCACAACCAGTCGTCTTTTTCATGTTATCTTAAATTAATACTCCAACAACAAGTGCATAGAATTTTAATAGACACAAGATTACAAAGGACATCTTAGATCAAGCGGACTAGTTCGACCTTGTTTTGAGACTCAGCGTTGTTTAAGATAGTTCTTCGACTTCCGCAGCATCTATATCAGAATTCTGAGGTGCAATACCATTGCTTTTCATGTGAAAACATCGTTTACATCCATGCCAACGTTTCTTGAATAACAAATATTTCACTTGACGACGAAACCGCGATGATGAAATTATGTACGCATAGAAGCTCACCTATAAATATACCTAACAACATCACACACACACAGTTGATCTCAGAATATCTTACTGTATAGTTTGCCATGGACATAGAAAATGTGATTGCCTGAATCAGTCGAACTATCACATACCTCATCATATCCGTNAAATAAGGTTTGAACAGCCAAACCAGACAGTAACGGTGTTATCACCTGCGTTCGCGACCACAATATCAAGTTTAGCGTCACTATTTAGATCACTACCAACGATAAACCGTGGACTAGAACCGGTTTGATATGTGATTTGAGGCGCGAATCGTCCATCACCATATCCCAAGAGAACACTAAAATAATCGCTACCAACATTGGCAGCAACTATATCTGAATGTCCATCATTATTATAATCACCAATTGCTACTGATTGTGGAAGAATACCTACTGAATATATGATTTTATTCTGGAAAGATCCATCGCCGTTTCCTAGTAGAATTGTCACTGTACGATAGCCTATAGTACCTGCAACAATGTCTAATCGACCGTCATCATTTAAATGCCCAGCTGCTAATGTGAATGGACTCGTGTCCACTGAAAACGTAGTCTGTGGTGTAAATGATCCATTACCATAGTTCAGAAAAATTCCAACATTATCAAAATCATAGTTAGCAACAGCAAAATCCAGATAAGTATCGTTATTAAAATCAGCGACAGAAATGTAGCGTGGAGGAGAATAATCTGAGTCGATAATTTCAGATGCAAACGAGCCATTACCATAGCCTCGTAACACAATTACTCCATCGGGCGATCCCACAAGTATATCAAGGTTTCTATCGTTGTTAAAATTACCCACAGCCATAGATTCTGAAGTATAGTCAATTGTAATTGTCATCCGAACTCCAAAGGATCCATTACCGAATCCTAGAAATAGAGCAAGATTTTCAGTGTCATCACTGGTAACAACTAGATCGAGCCGATCGTCGTTATTGAAATCGCCGACGGCTGCAGAAGTTGGACTGCTTTCAACCGAATATGTTGATTCGTATTGAAAACTACCATTCCCAACTCCTAAGAAGACGCTTACGCTGTCAGAATCATAGTTAACAACCATCATGTCAGCATAACTGTCGTTATTCATATCTGCTAGGACTATAAACCGTGGATTTATTCCAACTAAATATGTCTGCGGATCTGCAAATGATCCAGAATTCAACACAGTAAGTATGTCAATCTCATCACTATCATCGTATCCAACAACAATTTCTGTTCGTCCATCATTATTAAAATCTCCAGAGGAAATAACGAACGGAGGAGATCCAGAAGGAAACTGGTAGGTTGCTTGACGGATGAAAGATCCTCGACCATCTCCAAGTAACATTCCAACTTGACAAAAACCAGAAAGAGCTACTGCAATATCTAATTGAGAATCATCATTGAAATGGCCAATAGCAACTGATGTAGGTTGAGAATTCAGTTCCATGTCAATCGTGAGTCGACTGAGGAAAGTCTCATTGTCAGTACCAAACAGAATTGAAATATCATCAGTACCATAATTCGCAACAACCATGTCTAGTCGACTATCGTTATTCAGGTCGCAAATGGCCATTGACTGTAATATGGAACCACCACCAGATGCATATATTAAGTCGGTTGCCAGAGCACCTGTATCAGACTGGAGTAATATACTTACATTGGTACCACTATTGGCTGTTAGAATTAAGTCCAGCCGTTTATCATTATTCAAATCTCCAACTGCTACAGAAAATGCGTGTACGTGCACACGATATGACACTGCAGCTTCGAACAAACCATTACTGAGTCCACATAAAATGTACACAGTTGTCACTTCAGAACAACTGACAATAAGATCTAATCGTGTGTCATTATTTAAATCGACAATAACTATCCATGCTGGTGCGCTACCCACTCCATATGTAACTTGTGTTGCAAAGGTACCGTTACGATCTCCTAATATAACACTCACCGTACCGCTTTTAGAATTAGCAACAACAATATCCATTCGGCTGTCATTATTCAAATCAGCAACCGCTACAAAGTATGGGCGTGTACCAGTTCCATATGTTGTTGGATTTCCAAAACTTCCATTGTTATATCCCTTAAGAATGGTTATAGTTTTGTTACTATAGTTGGCAACAACCAGGTCGACTTGATTATCATTATTAAAGTCACTTATTGCTACGCAATATGGCCTATAGCCACTTGAGTATCTTCGTTGAGTTGTAAAACTGCCGTTGCCGTATCCTAAGAAGACGCTCACACTATCGCTACCATAGTTAGCAACAACAATATCCAGACGGTGATCGTTGTTAAAATCACCAACAGCTGCGAACACTGGCTCGGAGCCCGTTGAATAGTTCGATGGAGTTTCAAAAGTACCGTCACTATCACCAAGATATACACAAATATTATGACTATCACGATTGACAACAACCACGTCCATATTTGTGTCGTTGTTAAAGTCACCCATCGCTAAGGAATATGGACTGTCGTTCGTTTCATAGAGATTAGGACTTTGGAATGTTCCATTACCATATCCAAAAGACACCATCATCATGTCATCTGTATTACTAAGAAGTATCATATCTAATATTCCGTCATAGTTAAAATCATTGACAGCTACAGTCGTCGAATTGTACCCAACATCGTGCTTTGCGTATGATGGAAAACCTGCAAAATATCCTTTGAGAAGTTCAATACTTCCAGTGTCATTACTAACGACGATTACATCCAACCGATTATCTTTATTATAATCACATAAAACAAACGAGATGGACGAAGCAGATCCAGTTGTGTTCATCATTACATTGGAAAAACTGCCATCGCCCAAACCCAGAAGTAAAGCAGTGTTGTTCAGTCCGATATTAACAGTAAATATGTCCAATCGATCATCTCCATTGAGATCTCCGACGCGGATCGAGTATGGCGAAGAAGAATCGATCGAATACAATGTTCGCTCCAAAAATTTTCCATGTTCATCATTTAAAAGTACATAAGTCATATTCGTACCATAGTTACTAACAGCAATATCAACGAATCCATCCGAATTGAAATCTGCAACTACAACCGATGATGGTTGAGAATCGACCCCAGTTGAAATGATCAGTGATTGTTGAATCGTATTACTACTATTAAAAAACACTAAATGTATATCGTTCGTTCCAAAATTTGCAATAACAATATCTAAGCGATTATCATTATTTAGATCTCCTGTAGTCAATGCATATGGAAACGAATCATATCCAGTTGAATAAGTAAATAGATTGACAAAATTTCCCTTTCTATCACCATAGAATATACTAATACTGTTCGTTCCATGATTAATAACAATAATATCAACAAATGTGTCATTATTGAAATCAACTAGATGAAGTGATAGTGGTTGTGAGATTCCTGTTGATATTTCGATTTGATCTTGAAACGATCCATTACCGAATCCATAAAAGATTCCAATAGTATGACTGTTATAATTTGCAATTGCAATATCTAAATATGAGTCATTATTGAGATTGTCGACTGCAGCCATTGTGGGATGGGAATTGATACCAGTTGAATACTCGTATTCTTTGACAAAAGTTCCATTCGAATTTCCAAAATAAACTCCGATCCGACTAACAATCGAATTGACAATGACCATATCGATCCAAGTGTCCAGATTAAAGTCACCGATGGCAACGGATACTGGTCCATAATTATATTCGATGGGATTTGTTCCCGTTCGCACGAAATTTAATCCGCATGTCAATACTAAAACAGAATGTCATTTCGAATTCCAATACGTGAATAATCTACCTTTTGGTTTTGGTGCAGTTAAGCAAACGATGATAATTCCAATAGCCATCGTGGTACAAATGAATGTAGAAGATAAGAAGATACGGAGAATGCCGCTCGGTGTTCCAAGAATGGAACGTTTTCTGAAGAAAAAGTATTCAAAATTGAATTTAAAGAAAAAGAAACACGCACAGCTCATGTAAAGGATTCGAAATGCTGATTTCATCCTTCTCTTGTGTTTCATCATAGAAATCGGATGTAGACTGTGTGTTCGAAAGTAGTTCAGAGTTGTTATGCATTGGAATGTCAGCAGCCACACGTTCTACTGAAGTAACGTGTCGATCAGTAGTGAGCATTTCAATCTAAATGGAATAAACTAAAAGATGTACCACAATCATATTCGAATAATGTTTCATACCTGATCCATAGTGTACCGTTCGACAAATGGATGCAATTAAGTGACAACAACACCGTCCTTCTTAGTGGTTTATGGGCGGAGGTAAATGTATTATCTACAAGTACATTTCGACCTCGTCGAGAGAGTCATCGCGAGATATATGAAAACTAAGTATAAGACACTAAAATATTCGGTTTATATATTTTTATAGTTGATCTGTATTTCATCTTTTCGTTTTCTTGGAACGTGAGTGGGCAAACTTGGAGTGTAACTAGGGATAAAACAATTCTAAAGTCTTGAGGTTGAACTTTGGCTTTATTCTTTGAGTTTATACTCGAGTTTGAGTGTTGAATGTCTAAAGTACAGATCTGTCTAACAGTGAGAATCCTTGCCGTAGAGAGGATGGTAAACAACTCCATCAATTCTAGTTCCATTACCACTTCAAACTCAAATGAAAAATCGAAATCCTTACCAGCATTAACTCCGCTTCTATCAGTAGAACAGTAATATCCATTTCTACCTTAATAATTGATTACAAGTCAAATCGAATAATTGTACACCGTTTTACATGATGCTTGCGAAAGGTTCGTAACAAAACAAAAAGTTCCTATGAAACGCTCTCTATAACACTCACATACATTTTCCAAAGAGCGTAGTTTTAAGTCCGGACTCTATCACACACATCCACCCGATATAATAAACGTGCTTTCTACGCCTATTTTGATTGTGAAATGAGACACAAACTGAGGTATAATTGAATGCATATACACAATAAGATAGTCGCTTACCTTTTTTGTGATGTATAAATGGTATGGTGTATTCTATCGCGGATAAAATGGGATAAAAACATTAACTACTGAAGAATCCACCGATGATGAAGACATCTAGTTTCAACTAGCAAACGCTGAGAAGTGAATATCGTCATAATTATTGAAAATAGGTACTATTTTCAGTTATGTTTTTAGCTGTCATATAGAACCAGTTCCATCGGACAGATGGCGTGCGTGTACGCATATGTATTGCATAAGTGGCATTTCATATACTGCGAATCGGAGAAAAATCGGTCGCAGAGCTGGAGAGCACACTGACAGTTTATCAGCTAAAAAATGACAGATGTATTTGTACAGAAACGATCGAAAATCCATAAAAGATTGTCAAAACTGCTAAATTCTGATCGCGTCACTGGTGCCACCTGAGCCAGCTATGGAACTGAAATTGGTCACGATAACTCAATATACATTTTCTAACTTTAGCTGTAGATGCCACTGCGGTTTTTTGTATTGTTAAATATAACTTATGAAATAAACTCTTCCTTAAATATTTCGAGTATAGGCACAGAGTGGTCTTTTAGTGTTTTATTCAACTAAGTCGATACCTTATAGAAAACAATGTCATCATAGGACAGTTTACCACTGATTATAGCACGGGTGCCGAAAAATAATGATAAACCGTCTTGCATCGTCAAGATGTTAATCCTGTATGCCTCGAAACATAAGATTTCGATTACGTTATTGTATCATGCAACATTCGTTCTCATTATTATCGTTCAAAATCTCATGTTCTTTACATTTTAACTATTAATTGTTAACTTATCAGTTTCTTCTTACCGCTACACGTTACATTGTATGTCATTGAAATGATATTTCTGACAAACTCCCATGTACTCCTAATTTCTCTATTAGTAGGCAAGGAGATACGAACATAGTACAAATTGATTTATTCGATTATTTTGTCTTTAATCGTTCCTTTACTGGTTTCCCTCTGATCATATCATAAATTAAAATATTGCAGCTAATTGAAATTATCTAATCGAAGAATGTTAATATCGAACAGAGCAGATTGGAAAACAAACATTAAAATGTGGTTGAATCTTCGTATTTAGTAGCATTTGAAGAAGTCATAATCTGATATGAATGAATTGATCACAAACTTTTGTTCTTCATAGCAGATACACATATATTATAGCACATGTAGGAAGTTAATGACCAATCCAACTGTACTGATGTACTATTAATCGTGGATAAAGAAGTGTCCGATTTTCTTTTAAATCCATACGAATCTTGATTTCGAAGCACAACCTTCAAATTTCATGAAAGTTTCGTTTTTTGCTTACCATCATCGTTTGCATATCTCTTTCAGTGCTCGTTGAATCTTCGATAGAACTCATAACCGAAAAGAAACGTTCTATTTACTGTCATTGAAACACGTACGTATAAACTGTTACGCATGAAACTGGTAGAACGGGTAACTGAGTGTACGAAATTGAGAGAAGCAGGAAAAAACGTCTTGAGTCAAATCATCACGTTATCCTTTTTTAATGTTTATACAAAAATGAGTAAGTCATAATTATAGTAATCTCTTCAGATATGGATTTTTGATTGTATGACCGATGACTGCAAGTGTATTTTATGTCCACACCGAATTTGAGATACCTGAAAGAGAAAGTTGAATAGGAGTTGCTGATGAGTAGGAGAGTTCTACCTTCACGAAGTCGAAAAGTGAGTGAAAAATTTTCATCATTGAGAAAATAAAGCGGATATTCAACGACGAAACCTTGAATACTTTTTTACTTTTCTTGAGCCTGAGTAAAAGAAGTCAAAGAGAAGTATATTTGATCAATCTATCGTTATGCATACTCGAATAGGATCCGTGTCGTTCAATAAGGATATTCCTTTGTATCCATCTATTTGATCTAACACGATTGCTGGGTAGAGTCGCAAAGATTTCTTCACAGATCAGTGTATTTTTTCTTGCGATATCTCGAAAGTATTGATAAAACTTATCGCACACTGGATCATTGATATGAATCTGAAGTGAATTTTCGAATTGAATACCTAATATCATTCTGGGAGAAGTTTGTCAGTAAAACTCATTCATTAGTCAGTATTTTATTAACTTACAAAAAAGATTTTCTTTCGCCAGCTAGAATGAAAATCATCCGACTTGAACAGATTGACCATTGAATCGAAAAAGTTAATATAATCGTGAATTGGAATACCTGAAACAAACTAAGAGAAGCAATCGAAGAAGATGGTATTTTACCAGCGTTTTCTAATCAACTGAATAGTGAACCTTCGCCTTTTGTAGTTGAACACATGATAAAATAAAGTTCATTCAGTACAGATGAAACATCATAGAAACCGAGCAAGAGACGAAGAAAAATATAAACTCGAAACTTTTCTTGAACCCTAACGAATAAAATATAAAGCATAATTCAAAAAAACTAAGTTTATGTTTACTGATGTGCTCGAACTATTCATTGATAAAGAGCGTCACTGATTTGGTTATGGATATCCGCGTGTGAACCAGTAACGAAAAATTGATGCTTAAAAATACAATAACAAAAGTGAACTATAGCAAAGAACTCGTTCGTTATTATCGATACTTCGATGAATATGAAATGTTGGGCAGCTTGAATCATTTCTATGTAAGCATTGTGAGCAGAGGCTTCGGTGATTTTTACATCTGATGACCATGGCCTTATGATTAGAACACACTGAACATCGACTCGGAAAGGATTACTCTCGAGAAATGCTTTCCAGTTCGTGTCATTAAGGTCGTTTTCGTCATCATACGTTTTCGATAGTAGAAACGGATACGAATTATTCTCATGATATTTTACTTTTCTCACTTTGAGAGCATTCCATCGCTGATTGAAAGGCTATGGCATACGAGAGACTGTTTTTCGATCAATATAATCTAAATTTCATTTCATTCAAAATAGGTAAACGAATACGTAAATGATTGGAATGGTTTCTCATGAAATATCGATTTTTTCTATTGACAAAAAGCGAATCCGATGGTATTTCAGGTGTTTCTTCGATTTCATCATCTTTCGTTGTTCCCTACAGAAATGAACCTAACACAGTATTTACTCACGGTTTGCCTTTTTTGCGGTATAATTGAATTTCTAATGTTTTCATCACCTAGGTCAACATGGCTAAGAAAAAGTGGTAAATGTATAATATTCTACCGTAGTTATATCCCTACTTATCGCATATACTCATCATCCCATCAGCCAAAGCATAGATCGATTCCGTAGAGAAATGCAACTTTCTGATGGATAACAACCATTTCCTTGTGATGGAACCAAAAGAGAACTGTGCGTTTTGTATATGAACTATTTAAGACCATAGTAAATGGCACATCTTAGTAAACAATCACATGCACACTGACATCTGCATCCTTACCATATTCAAAGAGAACAATCAAATTAGTCGATGGAAAGCGAAAGCATACAGTGATTTTTCCTAAAAGAATATCTAATCGAAATGTCTCATCGCCCGATGGTCTGATTAACATGATTTCTGGTGAAATCCACCAACCACCAATAAATACTTTATTTCAATACCATTTTTAACTCCTGTATCATCTACGACAATGTGCATTTCAATCCGAAAAGCATCAAACTCGAAATGTACGTATTCTCGATGATGAATCAGAGACGAGTTTAAAGCGGATGGTAAATGAATCAAACGACGAGAACCACGAGAGTCATTGTGGACTCGTTTGAGTAAATAATTTTCTTTCTGGCTGATGCATATACCGTGGATGAATGAAAGAAAACTGACATTGAAAAATTGACGCTACGAAAAGAAATATCGAATAATCTAATCGATAAGTATTCCTACTGTTACTAGATGATGACGAAATTTTCGATGTTCAACGATTCTATTAAGATACTCCTTGAACATTTCCTATTGAGAATGACAAGGGCAACTATCAGAAATCGACTTCGAAGAAACTTACACAACATTTCCGAATGGAAGCACCATTCATCATTGCCATTCGATCCGTTCTTGTCGGAAAGCATGGATTTACTTCGTTAGTATTATTAATTTGATCATGTCGATGATTAAAATCACTGACGGGTTTCTTCGTTTCCACTTCGACAAAGTGAACTAGTGCTCGATGCAACACATGCAAGTGTGAATAACATTTGTGAATAATCCATTCGAACAGACGTGTTTGAAAAGTTCGCCGAAGTACGTTCAGCAGTTATTGATATCACTTGAACAAGAATATTGATGGAAAATGCTTGGCCAGTATCATCATACAGATGTTCAATAGTAAACTGATTTTTTTACATTGAACGAACTTCGTTGAAGATCTTCATCGATAGATACATCGAAGTCGTTGTTAGGATATGGTAGAAATTCAGCATGAGGAGTTAAATCTGCTAATTCAGTAATCGGGCGAAATGAAGCACTGATATTATCGTGTGTCATCGATAGTAAATTTTTTCAAATATAACAATGATTATATGTTATCGAGTGTATAATTATTGCGTATATTGTGGACAATGATAAATAAACAAAAGAAGAAAAGAAAGAGAAAAGTTTCGTATACACTCGTTAGTTTTATTGGCAAAGATCGAATACAAAGAGGAGACAAAGCAAAATACATGCAGAATAAGATGTGATCGATGACGAACTCTTAGAAATTTTACTGAGGAATGTTCTGACACTCTCATGGACTTGGTTGATAGCTGCGACGTTCTCTAGATTTGAGTAATTGGCGCCTGCTGATACAAAACCGTGTTTCATGTTGGCGTATGTTTCATACTGACATTGTCCGGATACCTGTGAGTTTGCTGATTGTTCGATGACAGTCGAAATGTTTGGACGCAATGGTGGATCATCGCCAGCAGCTATAAATAGTACTGGTCGCTGTAAATTCTTTACCTCATCTTCAGTCAACCATGCGCCATGAATAGAAACACCTGTAAAGAACAGATCCGACAGATTTGAACAAGCACGAGCCACTTGTAGGCCACCCCAGCAGAAACCAATCACAGCAATCCGACGCGATGGCGATGATGTTTTTCGAAGCCAAGTAGCAATAGTTCTCAAGTCAGTAGATACTTGAGACCAATTACCAACCTGAGCAAGCCATGCAATGAAATGAGGTACTGTTGTGGGCAATGTATTGCCTCGGTAAAAATCCGCCATCACAACCTGTACTTCGTACTCGGCTGCGAGTCGATCACAGAACACACGCGTCTGAGTGATATTGAATCCGTAAATGTCGTGAAAAACGATAATAGATAGATCTTTCGCAGAATTTGCCTTATTTCCAACTGTATACACATTCATGTCTTCTACACGAACGACTTCACCTTTTGGATACGTCTCATTCCACAAACTCGATGATTGACAAGTTGAAAAGCCCAATATGAGAAATACTAAACATAGAACATGCATTGTCTTGGGAGTTGCTGCATGCAAGATAAGAATAAGCACATGTATTTATAAGCCACTTCTAAAATGCAAATTTACCATATGATGCAGCAGAAAAAGAAAAAAGATTACACAGCAATAAATCAAATATTTACATATTACTACTTTAAAACTATGCAAATATCATTCTATAATACATGAAAGCTAAAGTGTCTTTCTCTTGATCCATAAAGACAGTTTTGTTTTGTGTATCCGATCCTCAATAATGCAAAATTTGGCGTCTATAATTCACGAAACGTTTCTTTCATCCAAGATCAATCCGAATATGTCCATGTATGAACATTTGATCAAATATTATAACTACTCTGTTTGATGAATATAGCAAACCAAATGTTCTACACCAATGAACGTCTAAGAAAATCGAACGATTTCATCACAAGAACGACACACAGCGTCAAATCTATCCGATAGATCAACCTTTCAAATTCTTTCATTTGATTCAAGGAAAAGCAAGTATTTCGATGAATGTATTTCCATTGATGACAACATCAGTGCACGATTGAATATTTCGAACAATTGAGTCGAATCCAGTTGTGTATTATGCTTAAATAAAATACTCAAATGTGGAATGTAAGACAAATTCATGGTCACTTTCAAAGACCTGGGAAATCCATAGCATGCTTATATATTAGTTAATGTTAACGATGTCACATATAGGAAGTAACATTTCTTCGAGTTTCTTATAATTCTCTCTCGAACTGGTAATAAATCTGTGACATTATCAAATATATGAATTTCTTCTACTAATTTATTCGAATATGTTTGTAGAGAATGTAGGTTTATATGCTTTTTCCATATAAGGTATGGTGTAAATCGTTACAGTGTCTTCGCATAAAACGTCTTCTGTCACTCAATGATGTTGTTTTTGCCAAAAATCAGTTTGAAATTGGTCCAACGTTCGTGTAATTCAATCTTTCAGACCAGAGAGATAGTAGCATGAGGGTGTGGGTGTTTGTGCTTATGTTGATGAGAACTGAATTAATCATGATACACACCTTCACCCTTTGCAACCAAAAATTATTGCAGCTGTTTCTTATAAATTCATAGTTAATGTATCTATAGCAAGTCAACGGCCATCCTATTCAGTGAAAACCTCTGTTCCTTACATACTGAGTGTCGGACATACGGGAAAAGGAAAAATTTTAATATTTATTCAAAATTCTCAATAGTCAGTTGTAATCAAAATAGACTTTTATTTATAGGTTATTAGATATTCAGCATAGGCTTGAGCATCATGATAGGTGACAGTCATGTGAACTCCGTCTGTCGTTGAATCGAATCCGATCGGACGAACTTTCATAGACGAATCTCCTTTGGTAGTTTTTCCGCCGAGAACACGACAAACAAACATACGGTGCTCGCCACTTTCGTTCTGAACCGCGTAGCCATGGCTATAAGTAGCCCGAGACGAAAAATAAACTCCATAGCCGTACAGTGTACCTAGAATAAAAACATAAATATATGTTCAAATTTTGATAAAAATCAAGAGCACCGTTAACTCCTGCGAAACTGCGATTGAAACAGTCGCGAATAATCGCATTCGCTGGTTGTTCTGGACAACCATGATATAGACGTTTTTCCGTATCGATGCCTAGACGTTTCTTAAAGTCTTTTTTATGCGCAATGTACTGCATATACCATCGTTCATTTTGAATGCGTTCTAATCGAACAATTTCTGTGTAATATCCTTGCATTTGTTCATCAAATTTGCTGATAATTTGTTTATATTCGTCTGTATTTCCGGATACAATAAATCGAAATTGATCTTCATCATCGCATGGCTCCCATGTCGAAGGCAATCGATAGTCATTCGATGCACCATCTGATGATAGAACTTGTCTACAGAATTCATCGTAAACATGCGGTTGACTTGGATGGATGATAAATTTCACGGTCCACGGTAAACTATTCTTTTCGATTTGTTGCTTCATCTCTTTCACCATCGTTTTGACAACAATGTCGACCGAACAAGCGTGTTCGCCACATCCGAGAGCAGGAAATGCAATAGACGTGTACCGATGTGCATGAACACGTTGAACAATATTCGCTATGAGATCGACGATCGATTGTTGAAGAATCTTTTTATTCTTATTTGGCTCCCAGCGAAAGAAGAAGATACTTTTGCATTGTAAATGACCTGGCGGAGTAATGATAACGGATGGATTTCGAGTTGCTGTTTGTTCCTTCGTGTAAGCGCTTTGAGCTTGATCGCCGGCTGCTTTCAACAGAATTTGTCGTAAATTCTCTGATGACATACTTCCAATAATAACATCCACCTGAAACAAATGAAAATAACAAGATCGAAGCAATTAAAAGCAGTTATTTACTTGTTGTTTTGTGATATCATCCTTTTTCACTTCAATAAGTCCATTTGCAATTCTTAACGAGATTGGTGGTTCTTTCACTGTCGTTTGTCGATGTTTGGATACGCCGAGATATTGACGAAATTCATCGTAGAGTTCAACTTTCTCCGGTTGAATGACAAAGACGACTGATAGAGGATATTTCGCTACCAACTGTTGACATTCGCCGACTAACGTTTTCGCAATAAGACTAGTCGGACATCCGTATCCACCGCAACCGATCGCAGGAAATGCGATACTTTGTAAATTCTTACCTGCTGCTGTAGTAATCACATTTTGAACTAACTGTTCAAGCGATCGACAGAGTCGATCTTCATTTGAACTGGGTGCCCATGGAACGAAATAGATTTTCTTAGCTTTGAGTGAACCGGTGGCTGAAATACTAATAACCGATTCCTGACTATTTTGGCTCACTTTTTCATCGAAAGAAGCTTTTAGTAATCTTCCACCCACTGTGAAAACACTGTCCATCAGATATTTCGACGTTGAACAAACAACGATCACATCAGTCTAGATAATTTTCGTTTACTACTTACAATATTGCTCGCCTGCAACTTACCGTCTGTGCCAATAAATCTGCTTGAATAACTGATATTAGCTGATTCGACTCATCGTTGTCGTCTACTTGCTATAATAAACGTAAAAATCTTCAATTTGATTGAAATAAATAAATATTACTACCTGATTTGAAAAGTCTAAATCATCATTTTCAAAGGCATTCTCATATTTCAATTCATAATAATAATGTACTTCATCCGATGAAATATTCTCATCGTGCTCAGCTTGTTTAACACGAGACGTAGTCAGCAACATCACGCTCGAATCATTTGTTAATTCAAAATTATTCACTGGTGATAAATCAGCCGTATTCGAAATCAATTTCGGTACCCATCGTAGGAAACCTTCGATTGTATTCCGTTGATTTGTAAACGAGAAACTCTTCAAATCTAACGTAATCTGTTCATTCTCAAGAATTTCTAAATACAGATTGATACATCGTCGTCGATAATTCATGCCAGTTTCTAAGATTAAATTGACTCGGTCATCGACCGTGTACCAGGAGTTAAATTGGATATTATCGTCTGATGTCATGTCGAGAATTTCAATCGAAGGCGAGAGATTGATGGTTCCGGTGGGGTGTTTAGTGAACATCATTTGCCATTGGCCATAGCAGTGAAAGTTAAGAAGGGATGAACCACGACAGCGAATCCAGGCATAATTCCCGGATCGATTCGAACCTGGTTCTAAACGTAGGAATTTTGCTAGAGAGATCTGATGGCGATCTCGACCTGCTTGAAGTTGAATGTCTGTTTTGAATGGTTTACCAGCGAGTGATTGTTGAAAATGGTTCGAAATTTCGGATGTGAAAGCCATCCATTGTTCCATGGCAAGTGGTTTGTATTCCCAAATACAATCAACTGCCAGACCTCTCTGACCTTCGACTTCCTGTAGAATTGTTTTCTTTGGAAGCTCTGTTGAGTTCATCAAATAGCCAGGCAGTAGAAAATCTTGGAAAAAGCCTCGAATATTATGTTTCGATTTGCCATTTTGAACAGGTGTTTCATTGAAACTATTCAATAGGAAATAATCTCCACCGCGAGAAATTAAATAGGTGACAATATCTCGATGCCCTTGATAACATGCAGCATGCAACGCAGTAGAGCCAATAATCGCTTTCTTTGTATCACCTGATTGATCTGGTGGATCATAGGATTGATTTTGAGCATTGACAGAACAACCTGCTTCTTCGACGAGATATTTGACTAAATCAAGATGATTATTTCGAGCCGCACAGTACAGAACGGTAGTTTCATAAGGGCTCGATTTATCCATTAGATGCGAATAATTTTCATGAAATGCTTCGATAACTTCCTGATTGCCATCCCATGCTGCGTGAAACACATCAAGTGATGCTAGCATACCTTGAAGATCTTGTAAAAATGACTCTAACATATCGCTAGTAAACGAATCGGACAAGGTCTTATTTGTTTCATTGTAGCCGTATTCACGCAGAACGTTGAAAAGATAATTTTGGCATTGCTTTGATAATGAAGAAAAAGATTTGTTGGCGATTGTTTTAACTGCCTTTCGTAAATCATCGATAAGCTGCGGAGAATTAGTTTCGCCGTCGAATTGACTTATTGTATGAGAGACAGCATCGATTAGCAGTTGAAGACATTCCTTCAACTTATTTTCGTCGTTGTTTCCAGTCGCCATAAATTATGAATGAAGCAATATTTCTCTTACGACTCTCGGTGTCACTTTTATTAACGAAAAAGACAAAGAATTGCAATGCATTGCATACAGTTGTTTTTGGAGAGAGGTTTTTTTTCTTCCTACCAGCCATTATAATAACAGTAACAGTCGACAAAATTTCCAACTTGCATCGACGACAATACTCAGTCAAATCAAAAAGAAGGTCTTTTTCTTCTGTTATATGCTGCGAAGACGCTGAAACTTTCATTACCGAAAAACAAGAATCTACAGAGCGTCTCCTAGCTGAATACAAGCAGCAGCGATGATGTTCTTCAACATCAAAATATTCTGAACACGGCATTAACGAGGCCTTATGGAATAGACGAGATCCTGTCGATTCACTTTCATCACATTGGGTGAGATTTTTAGCATTTGTCGATATTGAAGTCCTGCAATGGTTGCTTTCTTTCCAAGAGTCCTTATTTATTTCTAAAATACACGAAAACAGACGCTGAAAACTTCCTTTGAATTAGACGATCGCAATACATCACTCTCTGCTTTTCCAGCAAAAAAATTTACAGCTCTAAATTCGGTCTTTCGCTCAATGAATATTTTCGTTTTCGAAATCATTGAACAGCAGCACATTCGTTCAGACAGATGAAACTCGACACAAAGGTCATAGCCATCGGTGTACAATTCAAATCATTCGATCAAATTAGCCAAACTATGTCTTGGAGTCGCAAAACTGATGACACCCTCTATTACTCGAAGATTATAAATAAAAGACGAACTGAATATATTCAGATATATTCAAAAAAAAGTGATTGTAAAAATGTAGAAAATATAGGGATTATCTTTCATTCAAAAAAACAAATCAGAATATTTCAATGTGTTCGCCATCACTCTCGTCTATAAGAAAGAGAATATACAGATGCATAAAAAATGAAGTTAATGGTGCATATATCGAAATCATCAGTCAATAGAGTTGAATTCTTCTGAGCTCATTCAAAAGAAAGTGACATTGTTTGTGATGCTGCATTGCATGACGCTGAGGCAATACCACCCCAATATCCACTAACCCAAGGACATGGTCTTATTGTATAGTAACCTGTTGTACAGCTACACGTAGATCCCGATGAAGTGATTTCATAACCACTGCTGCATGGCCATACACGCCAGGCTATTCCATTATAAGTCAGGGCCATTGTAGTATTATAGCGTAAGGCAACTGCTAGAGCAGTGACAGTATTTGGATCAGTAACTGTGATGCCAACTGGATCATTTGAACCATAGATCCGCATTTTCGAATAACTCGTACACGTCAAACTAGCAGCGAATTGTTGCCATGCTGTGCATTGAGCAGCTTGAGTTGTAAGGGCAGTGAAACTCTGTGAATATGTTACAGCACATGCTGCAAAGAATTTATGGAATAGAAGGGAATGGATCAGTTGAAATGAACTTACGTGATGCTGACGATCGATTGTCTAAAACAAAAAACAGCGATAATGGTACACGTTTTTATAGAACTCAATCAACATAGTGCAGATAAGTGCCAGGGTTTTCCGATTATCTATCTTTCACCCAAACACACACCTACCTAGTACTAATACGACGATGGGAATAATGATAGCTGCGAGTACCAACATACCCAATAGAACCAACAATTGAATGCATATGCAGCGTGGTACACTCCATCTAAATATTCATTTTATAAAATTGACTTGCATAGATTGATGTGTTACCAACCTCGAACAAAATTTGGATGAAGCCGATGGAATACTTTGGAGACTATTCTGAGAAATGATTTGGGAATTATGGAAGGAATGTTGAAAGCTATTTTGTAAGGAAGATGACGGATCAAGTTTTTTGTTTACTTTTTGCGTCGACTTTTTACTAGCGTTGATCATCTTGATTTTTGTCTTTCTAACGAAAAAAAAACGAGAATATGTAAAAATCAATCCCTGTATTTCATAATTGTCAGAAAAGTTCGAATCTGTTGAGAGAAAAGATGAGAACATCGTTCTGTCACAAATTTCTGTTAACGAATGCTTCTAAGTGAAGTATTTTCATTTTTGCTTATTTTAAACTCGATGATTTATTGACTTTTGCTAAGCGATGATGATTGTAAATTGTCGCATATTTATCTTTCTCTCGAAAAGAAAAAGAGTGCAGCAATACAAACAATTCGTCCGCCTTCATCATTCGATTTACACTACTTCGGTGGGCATAAGATTCTGTGCTGATGCGAATGCTGTTAGTATAACAAGGAGATTGTGTTTATGCACTTGAAAAAGCAAATATTCCGGCATTGTTATTTTTGTTTGTAAGAACATATGCAAATGTATATCTCTTCCTCCACGACGATTATTTATCGACCGAGAGTGTGAGAGTGATACACTTTATGATATGTTAAAGGCCTTTGTATCTGCCGTGTAAAAACCGGACGAAGCAGGAACTAACAAAAACCTTCTTCTTCGAACGACTACCAAAACATCTGCAAACTTTGGAAACTCTGGGTAAATTTTATGGTGACAGTGATGCATACTTTATTGATAATAAACTAACATGGGCAAATCTATTCTTTCGTTTATTTGGTGAAACGATCTTTGGAATCGATGATCAATCTTTAGTTGATTTTGTATGGTTGAAACAAAATCGTGTTGAAATCAAACTGAAACACGATATATCTTTATGACATGATTTCGATTGACACACATATTCTCATTCGCGTCTTCGAAATGCAATTCAATTTCATAGGGATTTAATCTGTTTGTGATGATTAGAGTATCGATATGACGAAAAAGTGGAATATAAAACTTGGTTCGTTTTCTCGATACAAAATAGTTTTCGAAGACGAAGAGGCGTAATGCAAATGTTCTTTCTAATAGGTCTCAGTATTTTGTTCGCAGCCAATCATGCTTATGCGTTAGATTGTAAGGTAGTGAAACAAGGTCAACATTTCATATCAACACTTCCATTCTATGGTTTCAAACAAGATCTTGTTCTTACAACACGCATCCGATTCAATGAATCTATGGCTCGTTATCTCTTTCCACCAACAGAAAGTAAAGGTCGTTCATGTTCATTATCCTGGAATCAAGTATGGGGTGCTACACGATGTGGTTATTTAACCAGCACTCAAATGGATTTAGATCGATTCGTATGGCGTCGTCCTAGTAGCTGTTTACAATATGATTCTAAAGGATATGTTGTTAATGAATATGATGACTGTCCCGAAAAGAATCTCATCGAACTAGCTGCGTCTGCTTATGATAATGGTTTGAAGCCATTTGAACATCCAGGTGTTTTACTGAAAGAATTTACAACGAAACTTCAAATCAATACATGGTACAATTTCAAGTTGATTTTCGAGGACACAAAAACAACCTATCAACTGCTTGATGAGTCGAATCAACTTCTAGAAAGTCAATTTATTAACCATCATTCATGTGAACAATTTAATTTTGGTATGATACATGGTTTGTATTTTGGTGGAGAATGTCCAGCACCACAAGATGTTTCAGTTTGTTACGATTCATCATAGTTGACTGAAAACTACACGTCAGAAATAAAATGAATCATCTAGATCGGCACGTACAGTTTTAAGCCTAAGCATCTAATTCAGAAAGATTCAAACGTTGTCTCATAGCCTTCATGAATAATTGTTGCAGATGAGAATACGATGTGCGATGAAAACAGCATGCAGTGAAGGCTTTACTTTTGTTGTGAAATCTGACTATAAAACGTTTAAAATGTACTGACGAACTACATACCACCCTCGGTCATTCTACAAACAAGATTTTATCTGCCAATAGTTCCATGAACACTCTTATAATCAACGGAATACTCGGGAATGTATAGAATAATATCAGACTCAAACACGATTGGATTTTCCATGTATTACTTTACTTGTTTTAGCACAATAAATTTCTTCTATTCTCTTTTTATCCCTAACAAACACAACTGTCATGAACAATTAACTGTTTCAAATGAATTTCTTTATCTATGAGCCTCGAATACTTTTGCTTGACCGTCTTCTTTGCTTGTTTACACAAAACATCTTACTGATCGGCCATATGAATACAAAAGACAACCATCTTGTCGATGATGCATTTTTATCATCGTTCATTATCAAATATATCGTCGAAAGTTCCAGGTCAACTACTTGTTTATTCTATCTAACGGAATGGCTGTCCTTGTATGAATAGGAGAGAAGAGAGATTCTCTCGGATAATAATTAGTTCAAAGTCATGTTTATTTTCTTTTCTCTTCCAGCGTGTCTATATTCATCTATTCTCGCTGTAGTGGACGAATAAATCTGCACTCTGATTTGTGTTATTTTGCCGTTCCTCTTTGACCTAGATTATCCGTATGAGTCATAACAAGAGAGAATTGCGTTCTTTTCTATCACGGGAGAAAAAGTCGATAACGCATTTCTCCCATGTTGTCGTTCTAATGAGTCATCATGTGTCCATATATAAATATATAATGTGCGTCGTTTCTTTTACGATTTGATCTAAGATCAGAATATTGCATTGAACTTCACGAATCATGGCTGAGCGTCTTATGGAAACGGCCAGTGAAATTTCCACACATTTCCGCTGTGATCATTGTGGTATTACGATCGACGACGTGGCTTGGAGACAATGTAAAATTTGTAAAATATTCGATCTATGCCATACTTGTGGTAAAATGAAGTACAATCAACTATTAGCGAGTGTTCGTAATGATCATATGCAGAGACACACGGAACTTGGTGAGCTTGAATCGATTACAGACGATTGTATCGAAAAGATAGCCGTTGAACAAGCTGAAGCCAATAGTCAAACAATTCGAAACAAGATCAGAGAGGAACATTTGAATCGTATACAAAAGGAAAAGAAAATATCCAATGACTATGATATGTCAATCGTTATGGATGAATTAGAAAAACTGAAGAAAACATCATCATTATCATCGAAAGATATCGAATGGCATGGACTGGATTCATTACTTGCAAGATATCATCTAGAAGCACATGAACGAAACATACGTATACTGAGTTTAGATGGTGGAGGTAAGACACTTATCAGTTCGATACACTGAATATTCGTTGCCTTTCATTTGTTAATAGGTGTGCGTGGCTATATGCCGATTAAGATTGTTTCTGAACTAATTGCACAAAAGTATCTGTCTCTGAATGAACCATTTGATCCACATAATGCAGAACATAAGGAAGCATTTCAAAAAATACAAGGAAAATTTACTGAGCAATTCGATTATTTCGTTGGTACGAGTACAGGTGGACTTATCGCCTTTTGCTTAGCGATGAACTACAGTGTCTTGAAGATGATGGACATCTATGCGGATTATTCATATTATTTCTGGCGCAATTATCTCGGACCAATTATTTATTCGAAATATAATCCAGCTCGTATTCATCAAAAGATCGACGATATTATCAACAGTCTCTCGTTCAAAAATGGAACAAAATTATCAGCAGAAAACGCGACATTGCTTGATATTCGCAATATCTTAAATCAGGACGATGTTATCACTAATGATCAAGTTCAATTACGCGCTTCTAATCATGGAAATCTATTAGAGTTCGTCGATGACACAAACAACATCGACAGCGCCAATCGCGTTACCAATGACTACAGTTTTCATCGAATCTATCGTGAAAAAGTCTTACTCATTACTTCATACAACACAACAACAAATAGCATTACGATATTCAATACAAGTTACGCTCCACATTGGAATTATCGTATTGCTGATGTGTTGAAAGCGACTATGGCTGCTCCGACGTATTTTCCACCAATGGAAATCTTTACCGGAAAGAAAGTCGATGGTGTCTTTCGAAAAGATGCGCAGTCAGAATTATTCATCGATGGAGGTGTATTCGCTAATGATCCCGAACTATCAGCACTGTGGGCCATTCGAATGCAATGGAAAAAACCGGCGAACTATCATTTGCTTTCGATTGGCACTGGTTGCTATAAGACAGCATTATCCTCGTCGACTTGGGGTGGTTATCTCGGATGGATAATGAACAAAGGTTATTTAGTAAACACATTGATGGATGCACCGCGTAGTTTCATCGAAATTATTGGAAGTAATCTGGCAAAATTCAGCAACATCAGACGAATGAAATTGAATTACAATATGAAACGATCAATGGCTTTGGACGATGGTGAATTCGTTCGTGTATTCGATAAAGAATGGGAACAATTAAAAACCGAAGAAGACTATAAAGCTTTTGTTTATTTCTATGATAGCTATATCGTTAAACGAATTTGATTGAATATAACTATAAAACGTTCTTTTTTGTAGATAATTTTTCTTGACAAATGGGACTTAATTTTTCTACACCGGAGACTCTATTCAAACTGAACCATCTGATCATCATAGGATGGGTTGCATTGATTCTTGTACCGTTTCACAAAATATCCAAATACTTGACTCTTCTACCTGCGTTAATATTATCAATCGAATATACTCTTATCTTATTTTCTCGAGATACAACAAGTCTTCGATTGAATTTCTCGCATTTATCTGCATGGAAAACGTCGTTCAACGATGCATTCATGATTATTAGTGCAAGAAATCATTTTTCCGTAATGGATCTTTGGGTCGCTCGATGGATGGTGTATGATTTTTATACTGGATACACATTTGCTTACAACGGTACAAATAAATCGTGGACATTCGGAAGAGTTCTTTTGACAAGCGTTCTTTTAATCACTTATCTAGTCGCACCATTTGGATTCTTACTTTACAATTTGATGAAATATTCATTTTTGAAGAAATATCGAACTGAAGATCGAATAGTTATCAAACGTGGTCAAGGTTTCCTTGGAAATTTTCATACACAAAAGCGATTGTTTAGTCCTCATATCGTTCGATTCGCTGATAAACTACCGGAACCATTACGTACAGTTTATTATTTTGTACTTGGTCTCGTTGGGTTGAGCATTTTATTCACGATTGTCCTACCTTCGTATCTCGTTCTGATTATCTACTGTCGAATTGTTTATCGAACACATTTAACATCGACTTCGAAATCATTGCCGAGTAAAAAGGTTCCGGAATTTGTTCGTAATGTTACTGCAACAATGCGATTATCATTAATCAGTACACCTCTCGACAAACGAAACCGCATTTGGCATTTAAAATTTCTTCTCTTACAGTTTGCCACATTCATCGAATATATCGTCAATTCTTCGCAACCGGCTTATTTATTCAAAGCGTTGGAAGATTACTTTCGTCAAGTGTATAATTCTCCGTATTATGTCTTGGGCAATGGAATAGCGGTGAATTCGCATCAATTAGTTAAACGCTACCTTCAAGATATTCGGCCACGTAAAGATTACGAATTATTAGCATGGGAAGTTTCACAATCCTTAATAACATTTTCTGATTTTACAACGATTTTCTTGTCAACAGACGATCCGGATGTGAAATTAGGTCGAACGATTGTATTTCAATGGTTACATGCATTTCCGCACAACTTGCAAAATGGCAATTTCGAAACCAATTCGCAACTGGCGCGAATTCTTCCACGCCAAATGAATGAAAAACCGACTGCAGATGTAGTTTATCAATCCGTCGGGGAAGTATTATTTTTCCTGGCAACAAGCGGCGAATTAACTAAAGATGAACGAGCAGCATTTATCGAGGGTGTTAAAAACCCAATGATATTCTTTCCGAATTGGTTCAATTTCTTACTGAATGGTCATTCCTTGGAACGCAAGAATCTACGTAGTTATTATACTCTTCTTCAAGCTTTTGCACGGTATGAAAATGGACCTGCTCTACAAGCTGCTTTTGCAGCGGCAGAGAAGAAGAAGTCTCACGAAGAAGTTTTAAAATTTCTCACCGTCGTCTTTTGTATAGCAGGAAGTCCAGCACCGGCGAAATTAGCAGTGACTGTTATCGATCGATTATGGGCAGACAAAGAAAAAAATGTTCGTTTATTCAAAAAGAATCCACATAATTTCATTAAAGAATGCGCTCGATTGGATAAAGTCGTTCCAACGGTAAACGTCTTGGCAACTGATGAAATCGCCGCGGAAATCGGGAACTCTTTTCAAAGTCAAAATATCAAAATTCCTGAAAATACACCCATTCACTGTTCTCTCGTCAACGCCAATCGTGATGAAACAGTTTTTCAAAATCCTGATGAGTTCTTACCGGATCGACCTGATTTGAATAAAATTATCGTTTGGAACGGCGTTGAAGAAGATGTGACCAATCCGGATAAAAGCAAACGACCTATTCGTTACTGTCCCGGACATGATTTAGCTATTGATGTTATTCAATTCGTTGCTGAACGATTTTTACCGATCATCGACGATGCAGATGACGAACAAAAACAGAAGAAGGAAGATACGATAGGTAAGTTTTGATGAAACTCATCACCAAAGATTTTTTTCTCAATTGTATATAGAATCTGCATCACATGACAAAGAAGAGCAGCAGAAGGACAACAATGAAAAAGATATGGCCTTGTTTGATCGAAAAACTCGAAAGTTAAACGAAATGGAAAAGAAACGTTGTTGGAAAACATTAGACACATACACAAAATTGGTTTATCTCTTAATGAAAACAGCTGTGAGTGAATCCAATCAATCTCCATCACGTGCAATCGATATTAAACCACCCTTGACTTTCCCTGTGGAAAAACTCGGTATATTTCGAATTGATATGGCGAAATTTATCCCATCATGGGATGAAGATGAGCCGAATGGCTCGGGTTTATCAAGAAAACTTGCTCGTTGGTTAGTCAACAGTACTCTATGGGATTTTTACGACTGTTTAGCCGAATTCGACACATTAGAACAAGCATTTGCCTGGCGTGCAAGGGTCTTTCCTGAATTGCCGTTACCAAATGTTGTCTATACAGACATGTTTTCCGACGAAGCAATGAGTCGCTTAGCATTTTTCGGCTGTGCTTGTCATTACACGCAACGGATTGGTAATGGATGGCAGCCTGGTTGTGGGATTCCTGAACAAAAATTGCTGACGAATGCAGTGTATGTTAATGATATGACTGGTTTATCGATCTTTCGTGTTCGAAAACCATTTGAACGGTACGGAGCAGCGGTGTATTTCGATAAAGATTTTCAATTAATTGCCATTTACTGGTGTCATGCTAATCGTTTGGTAGAAAAAAATGATCAATTTTGGGAACATGCAAAATATGTTTGGCGTTCATCATTCTTCGCTTATGTCACTATATGTGATCATCTGATTGTCACACACATGATCGAATGTAATGCTTTCGTGAGTGCAACACGAAAATGTTTGCCAAGTGATCATCCATTACGAGTATTTCTGAAACCATTTACATATCATACAGTTTCAGTGAATTATCAAGCTGCAGTGTCACTAGTCAATCGACGTGGCTTAGTACATCGCATATGGGCATTTGATTATGATGAATTTTTGAAAGTGTGTGATTATATATCAACAAATTATAAATTTCGATTGTTAACGGAATTTATCTCTCCATCGATGTCGCCGAAGAATAATCATGTCAGTCGAGAAGAATGGGACAAGGTTTATCCGATTTATTCAGATACGAAACAATTCTGGAGAATTATTCAGCAATATGTTGCAAATTTCTTTCATATAACTTATCACCTTCGCGTCGAAATCGATCCTGATGATGACAATGATGAAAAACGTGTTGATAAGGACGTCTGCGATGATAAATTACCCGTCGATTCCTACATGATGGACTTTATCGATGACTTATGCAAGCAACTTGGAATACCTGGTATTACTTCACTAAAGCGGTTCGTTGATGTTCTATCACAACTGATTGCTGATAGTACAGGTATTCATGAACATGTCGGTCAGATTAGTGATTATATGATTGATCCGAGATTTATTGGTGCCAAGTTACAAGAAGGAAGAGAAATGCAGAATATCCAAACATATACACAAATACTGATTTTGACTGTTGTTACAGGCTTACGTATGCCGGGAATAATGGAAGATTGGAGTCATTTAATCGAACATAATCAAGATTACGAAAAGAATCTCAAGAATTATCACGATTTCAAAAGTCAATTACGCAAACTTTCGAAATGTGTGGATGAGCGTAATAAAACACGAAGATATCCGTTTCAGTCATTTAACCCAAGATTTATTGAATGTTCAACATCGGTTTGAATCAATCCGTAACATTTCTCACTAACTCAAACTATATTAGAATTAGATTATTAGATTTTTTTTATCACAAGAGATAGAATCTCGTTTTTTTGTTCTCTTCACATATATATATTCGAAATAAACTAAACTCCTTCTACCATCGAAAGTTTAACTAAATACAAAGAATCAATGTTGTCATCTCTTCATGATGAACAGATAATAAAGTATTCTTGTCAAATCCCTTTTATATGGAAATATCAACTCCTGAAATTACACTCTCGTACTGTATATATCGAGTATAACTCCAAATTATTCGATAGTTCCATGTAAGGCTGATCGGTATTCTCAATCAGACGTTTCACATCCACAAGATGATTGAAGAACACCTTGGTCGATAGGAAAAGCTCGTTAAGTGTTGTGCTATATTGGATTGGATAAAAAATTCCGCTTTCGGTAACACATTGGTAGTGGTAAAGAAGTGCATCGTGAGTCGATCAATCGGGTTTTTAGTGATCTCATTTGTCAGCTTGCAGAGATCTGCAAAGAATCGAAACTTAAAATACGCTATATTGCGACAATCTAGAGTCAGATGCAGTATGCTATGCCATTTTCTTTCCACCAAGCCACTCTGATATACTGAATGTAATATTGGCGTCAATAAACCCAATGTTGTATAAGGAATTGTCGTGGTGAAACAAGAACGGTTAACTGTTCTAGAAAACATACTTTGTAATTCATTGTATTCAGTCAGCGATGACTTTTCTCTTGTGATTATCATTTATTTCACGATTGAGTGAGATGAAGAGAGCAATTGTTAGAAATGTGTCTACAAAGAATGAAGAAAGAGAATAAAAGGATACACTCATACCGAAGCACGACAATCAATGAATTGCCATGAACGCACATGCTATTCTCTTCGAACTTTCCAGGAAGAGCAGTGTCGGCCAGGCATAGTCTAGCTTTGAAGAAGTAACTTATGGAGATTGGTGGTAAAACTTAACATATCTATCAATGATACTAAATAAATGTATGTCATCATCTTCTGTCGCTTAACGTCTTTTTCTGCTCGCGCATTGACAGTTTTGAATAAATTGAACGATTTTATTGAGTGAATCGACTGTTGCTTGATTGTGTGTCGTAGCAATGGATGAGCTCACAGTTAGTAATGTACTGTTTTGCACAAAGAATATTTACCTCGTCCGGTTCGAGCATGAGTGAATCAGTGCCAAACGTATAAAATAATTTTGATCAGAAATGTCGTGATCAAGAAGAGTAGAATGGTACGATCCCCATAAAGATTAATGAAAAGAGCAATCGCATGAAACACATTCTTCTGATCCTTTTTTGTATATGTGCAAAACGAAGGAGAACCTCTAGTGAAATATTCTAATTACATAGTCAATGTTTGCTGACGAAGAAGTTAGATATATGGTTTTTGATAGGATTCGATTCTTCCTTTAAAAATAAGCAAAACAAACAATGCAAGATCGTACGGACTTGATTAAGTATTGGAAAATATTTGGACAAGGCATGTAAACATTCGGCTTTATACAAGTAATCAAGAGTATCTTCATATTCAGCGTCGAGAATACTTACACGCTGTAAGAAAACCACCAGGCGCATATTCAGTTTCGAAAGGATATGTCCATGATTTAAGGTCTGTCATATCTGGATTATTTTTGCCGCCGATCAGAGTAAAGACAGCTTGTTCACTTGTTTTGGATTTGCCGCAGTAATGTGTTTGGAAAAATGTTTGAATAGACTTGTCAATTTCTTTTATTATCAGTATAGCATCTTATTGATTCTCATGCTTATGATACACGCTAAAGCATTGATGTTCAGGACCGATATGAGACGATGCGCTCTAGTGACTGTTTCTAAATAGTTAAGAAATGAAATTGTTTTTGTTGATGCACTATTTTCGAAAAGGTCAATTATTACGGTAGTCTTTTACTGAAATTGTTTTGCTGTATGAGGTTGGACGACGGTGAATTCATATCTACCGATATGCATCAGATTCGAATAAGTTAGTTTTCGTGAAAACGAACACAAGCTAGACTAGCTAAGTTTTGACAATCGTTCAACAGATATCGATTTATCCTTGGTGAGTAATTACAAGGCTTCGATTCACTGTTCGCTTAGAAAAATACTTGAACAATTTGAATGGAATGGAACACTATGGTTAACAAAGTCTTTCAGAAGTATTGTAGTTTTCGAACATGGGCACAACAATGTCTGGTTATGATCTTGATATAGTTGATCGAAACGAGAACGAGTGATGTTCGAGACCAGAATCGTATTACTTTTGTTTTTGTTAGAACGGTTGAAAAGAAAACACGGTAAAATGAAATAGAGATGAGTTCATTAGTTGTTTCAATTCAGTCTCAAGATACGGGTGATACTTCTTGTGATATAGTAGATATAATTTTCTGTTAGAAGCTCAATTTGCGAGCAGACTCGAAAATGGTGTGATTGGATGAAGTGAATCAGATATACAGAAGCAAGAAATCGTGTTCGACGCTTCGTTCTGAAATGAGAGAAAATCGTACATCGATTCTATTTTCACCTTCTTTCAAATCCGAGGAGAAAAAAAGTAATTTGCAAGATCAACGACATACGTACCGATCTAATGTTGTAATCAGTCTGTATTTGATCGAACTATCATCTAGTAGATCGGATACATTAGTCGATTGTATTGAAATATCCGTCCAATTGACCAGTAAAGAGTTACACAACGAAGCGGAGCACTACTGCTATCCTAGATCGTCTGACGATTGTTGTATACTACAACAGCATCATCATCAGGATCAGAAGCAATTAGAGATTACATTGAAATCTCAATGGTTTCTTTTATAAATACGTATTTCATTCCAGAAAACAACGTTTTTCTAAGATATTCGTAAGAGACGAAATTGACTTAGAATTCACTAAATCCCTTTTGTTAACTTTGCAATAAAGTGGCGTCACTCAAGAGAAACGTAACTGTGCTAAATTATTTCTTACAGTTTTCATTTGATTCCTCTTTAGTTGATCATACACAGAATTAGATTCTCGCTCGTATGATATATGCAATATTTGGTGAAAAGTATATATACTCGAGCATAAGCTAATAAGCAGCACCAGTTAAACAAGAGAGCAGAGAGAAATACGACCGAAAAGTGCAAAAGAAAAAACATAGCCAGAGAGCAAACACTGAGAAAGTCATGGCAAATCAGTATGAAACGTGTAGTTTTTGTGTATACGAACTTATCATTATAGTTCTCTCTTCATCTGTTTTTATAAGATATAATTAACCAATTCTGCATGTGTGATTACTTGACAACTTCTGTGGAAACCTAAATTTGTTCAATTGGTGATTTCATTTAAGAAACATTGATATATGATGAACATCGCAGCAGAAACTTCTAGCTTATACATGTGCTTGGCTACGGTGTCTTCATGGCCATCATTGTTAGAATCATCAGTAACGACATGAGTGATGGAATCGTGAGATTAGAAAGTTTTAGGATATCTATTTTCTCTGGTCCTATTGGTTGGGCTTTCTGCAATCGAATGAATTAGATTATACGATATTGCTGAATAAGCTTACTAATCATTTTAAACAGACAAATGCAATACATTTTTCACTAATATCCGCCTTTGAAAAACTATTTTCGCTATTGTTTCGATAATAATAACAAATATAAATAGTTTATCTGAGGATATAGATACGAATCGGAACATTTATTCATTAGACACACACTGACGTCTTCAATAAAACCATTGTTGTCAGAAAACAAAATAACAATCTCCAGTTACTGACAAGAACGTTAATACCGGCACCACTTGGAGCGTCTTCTACTGAGAACAGTTGAATTTGAAAGTTATTTGTGTCACTCACATACAAATCTAGTTTTTGGTCAAATGCCAGATAGATAGGACGATTTAGCTGAATTCTAAGTCAATTTCGTCTCTTACGAATATCTTAGAAAAACGTTGTTTTCTGGAATGAAATACGTATTTATAAAAGAAACCATTGAGATTTCAATGTAATCTCTAATTGCTTCTGATCCTGATGATGANTTTTTGAGTCCTGATGAATAAAACATAAGGTACGATTTAAAAGAAAAACTAAGTTTATCTTTACTGATGTGCTCGAACTATTCGTTGATGAAGATTGTCATCGATTAGGTTATGGATATCCTCATGTGAGCCAGTAACGAAAAATTGGTTCTTAAAAATACAATAACAAAAGTGGACTATATCGAGGAACTCGTTCGCTATCATAGATACTTCGATGAATATGTAATGTTGGACAGCTTGGATCATTTCTATGTAAGCGCTATGAACGGAGACTTCGGTGATTTTTGCATCTGATGGCCATGGTCCCATAATTGCTCGAATACACTAAACATCGACTGGGAAAAGATTACTCTCGAGAAAAGCTTTCCAGTTCGTGTCATTAAGCTCGTTTTCGTCATCATACGTTTTCGGTAGTAGAAACGGATACGAATTATTCCCATGGTATTTTACTTTTCTCGTTATGACAGCATTCCATCGCTGACTGAAGCGCTACGGCGTACGAAGGACTGTTGTTCGATCAATATAATCTGAATTTCATTTCATTCAGAATAGGTAAACGAAGACATAAACGATAGATTAACCTTCATTATACTTTTCAAGTGACTGAAATGGTTTCACATAAAGATCGACATAATCTTTTCCGATGAACTATCGATTTTTTTCTATTGACGAAAAGCAAATCCGATGGCGTTTCATGTGTTTCTTCGATTACGTCATTACAGAAATAGATCTAACACAGTATTGCACTCACGGTTTGCCTTTTTGCGGTATAATTGAAGTTCTAATGTTTTCATCACCTAGGTTAACGTGGTTGAGAAAAAGAGGTAAATGTGGAATATTCTACCGTAGTTATATCTCCACTCACCGCATACACGCATCATCCCATCAGTCAAATCATAGATCGATTCGAATGAGAAATGCAACTTTCTGATGGGACCATAAGAGAACTACGCGTTTTGTATGTAGACCATTCAAGTCCATAGTAAATGGCACATCTTTGTAAACAATCGCGTGCACACTGACACCTGCATCCTACGATATTCAAAGAGAATAATCAGATTAGTCGATGAAAAGCAAAGGCGGCATACAGTAGTTTTCCCTAAGAGAATATCTAGTCGAAATGTCTCGTTTTCCGATGGTCTGATTAACATGATTTCTGGTGAAATCCGCCAACCACTAATAAATAATTTACTTCAATACCATTTTTAACTCCTGTACGATGAAAACCTAATGAAAATGTAAAACCATGATCAACCAGTATGGGAAAACGTAATACATTTGTATCTGGTCGGATATAAGCTGTATAAGTAGCTTTAATAACAAACTATCTACGACAATGTACATTTCAATCTGAAAAGCCTCAGACTCGAAACATACGTACTCTCGATGATGAATCAGAGACGAGTTTAAAGCGGATGGTAAATGAATCAAACGACGAGGGCCACGGTAGTCACTGTGAGCTCGTTTGAGTAAATAACCTTCTTTCTGGCTCTCGCTTATATACCGTGGATGAAGGAAAGAAAACTGACATCGAAAATTTCACGCTACGAAAATAAATATCGAATAATCTAATCGATAAGTATTCTTACTGTTGCTAAATGATGACGAAATTTTCGATGTTCAACGATTCGATCGAGATACTCCTTGAACGTTTCCTGTTGAGAATGACAAGGGCAACTATCACAAATCGATTTTCAAGAAATTTACACGACGTTTCTGAATGGAAGCACCATTCAGCATTACCATTCGGTCCGTTCTCGTCGGAAAACATGGATTCACTTCGCTAGTATTGCTAACTTGCTCATGTCGATGATGAAAATAACTGACGGATTTCTTCATTTCCACTTCGACAAAGTGGACTAGTGCTCGATGCAACACATGAAAGTCTGAATAACGTTTGTGAATAATCTTTTCACTGGTGGATATATCAGATGAGACCTACAAGTGCGGATTTAAAAAGTTCGCCGAAGTACGTTCAGCAGTTATTGATATCACTTGAACAAGAATATTGATGGAAAATGCTTCGTCAGTATAATCATACAGATGTGCAATAGTAAACTGATTTTTCACATTCAACGAACTTTGTTGGAGATCTTCATTGGTAGATTCTTTGAAGTCGTTACCAGGATATGGTAGAAATTCAACTTGAAGAGTTAAATCTGCAAATTCAGTAATCGGGCGAAATAAAACACTGATATTATCGTGTGTCATCGATAGTAAATTTTTTCAAATATAAAAATGATCACATGTTATCGAGTGTAATTATTGCGTATATTGTGTACAATGATAAATAAACAAAAGAAGAAAAGGAAGAGAAAAGTTTCGTATACATTCGTTAGCTTTATTGGCAGAGATCGAATACAAAGAGCAGACAAAGTAAAATACATGCAGAATAAGATGTGATCGATGACGAACTCGTAGAAATTTTATTGAGGAATGTTTTGACACTCTCATGGACTTGGTTGATAGCTGCGACATTCTCTAGATTTGAGTAATTGGCGCCTGCTGATACAAAACCGTGCTTCATGTTGGCATATGTTTCATACTGACATTGTCCAGATACCTGTGAGTTTGCTGATTGTTCGATAGCAGTCGAAATGTTTGGACGCAATGGTGGATCATCGCCAGCAGCTATAAAGAGTACTGGTCGCTGTAAATTCTTTACCTCATCTTCAGTCAACCATGCGCCGTGAATAGAAATGCCTGTAAAGAACAAATCCGACAGATTTGAACAAGCACGAGCCACTTGTAGGCCACCCCAGCAGAAGCCAATTACAGCAATCCGACGCGATGGCGATGATGTACTTCGAAGCCAAGTAGCAATAGTTCTCAAGTCAATAGATACTTGAGACCAGTTACCAACCTGAGCAAGCCATGCAGCGAAATGAGGTATTGTTGTGGGCAATGAATTGCCTCGGTAAAAATCCGCCATCACAACCTGTACTTCGTGCTCGGCTGCGAGCCGATCACAGAACACACGCGTTTGTGTAATATTGAATCCATAAATGTCGTGGAAAACGATAATCGATAGATTTTTCTCAGAATTTGTCTTATTACCAACTGTATAGACATCCATGTCTTCTACACGAACGACTTCACCTTTCGGATACGTCTCATTCCACAAACTCGATGATTGACAAGTTGAAAAGCCCAGTATGAGAAATACTAAACACAAAATATGCATTATCTTGGGAGTTGCTGCATACAAGATAAGAATCAGCACATGTATTTATAAGCCACTTCTAAAATGCAAATTCACCATATGATGCAGCAGAAAAAGAAAAAAAGATTACACAGCAACAAATCAAATAGTAACATATTACTACTTTAAAGCTATGCAAATATCATTCTATAATACATGAAAGCTAAATTGTCTTTCTCTTGATCCATAAAGACAGTTTTATTTTGTGTATCCGATCTTCAATAATGCAAAATTTGGCGTCTAATTCACGAAATGTTTCTTCCATTCAAGCATGAAAATCCTCTAAGATCAATCCGAATATGTCCATGTATGAACATTTGATCAAATATTGTAACTGCTCTGCTTGATGAATATACCCAATCATGTGTTCTACATCAATGAACGTCTGAGAAAATCGTATGATTTCATCACAAGAACGACACGCAGCGTCAAATCCATCCGATAGATCAACTTTTCGAATTCTTTCATGTGATTCAAGGAAAAGCAATCATTTCGAACAATTCAGTCGAATCCGATTCTGTATTATGCTTAAATAAAATACTCAAATATGGAATATAAGACAAATTCATGGTCACTTTCAAAGACCTGACAAACTCATGGCATGCTTATATATTAGTTAATGTTAACGATGTCACACATAGGAAGTAACATTTCATCGAGTTTCTTATAATTCCCTCTCGAACTGGTAATAAATCTGTGACATTATCAAATATATGAATGTCTTCTACTAATTTAGTCGACTATGTTTGCAGAGAGTGTGCTTTTATATGAGGGTACGGGTGTTTGTGCTTATATCGATGAGAACTGAAGTAACCACTATACACACCTTCATCCCTTGCAACCAAAAATGATTGCAGCTGTTTCTTATAAATTCATAGTTAATGCATCTATAGCAGACCAACGACCATCCTATTCAGTGAACACATCTGTTCTTTACTGAGTGCCAGACATACGGGAAAAGGAAAAGCTTTTATATTTATTCAAGATTCTCAATAGGCAGTTGTAATCAAAATAGACTTTTATTTGTAGGTTATTAAATATTCAGCATAGGCTTGAGCATCATGATAGGTGACAGTCATGTGAATTCCGTCTGTCGTTGAATCGAATCCGATCGGGCGAACTTTCATAGACGAATCTCCTTTGGTAGTTTTTCCGCCGAGAACACGACAAACAAACATACGGTGCTCGCCATCTTCGTTTTCAACCGCGTAGCCATGGCTATACGTAGCCCGAGATGAAAAATAAACTCCATAGCCGTACACTGTACCTGAAATAAAAACATAAATATATGTTCAAAATTCGATAAAATCAAGAGCACCGTTAACTCCTGCGAAACTGCGATTGAAACAATCACGAATAATCGCATTCGCTGGTTGTTCTGGACAACCATGATATAAACGTTTTTCTGTATCGATGCCTAGACGTTTCTTAAAGTCTTTTTTATGCGCGATGAACTGCATATACCATCGTTCATTTTGAATGCGTTCTAATCGAACAATTTCTGTATAATATCCTTGCATTTGTTCATCAAATTTGCTGATAATTTGTTTATATTCATCCGTATTTTTGGGTACAATAAATCGAAATTGATCTTCATCATCGCATGGCTCCCATGTCGAAGGCAATCGATAGTCATTCGATGCACCGTCTGATGATAGAACTTGTCTACAGAATTCATCGTAAACATGCGGTTGACTTGGATGGACGATAAATTTCACGGTCCACGGTAAACTATTCTTTTCGATTTGTTGCTTCATCTCTTTCACCATCGTTTTGACAACAATGTCGACTGAACAAGCGTGTTCGCCACATCCGAGAGCAGGAAATGCAATAGACGTGTACCGATGTGCATGAACACGTTGAACAATATTCGCTATGAGATCGACGATCGACTGGTGAAGAATCTTTTTATTCTTATTTGGCTCCCAGCGAAAGAAGAAGATACTTTTGCACGATAAATGACCTGGCGGAGTAATGATAACGGATGGATTTCGAGTTGCTGTTTGTTCCTTTATGTAAGCGCTTTGGGCTTGATCACCGGCTGCTTTCAACAGAATTTGTCGTAAATTCTCTGATGACATACTTCCGATAATAACATCCACCTGAAACAAATGAAAATAACTAGATCGAAGCAATTAAAAGCAGCTATTTACTTGTTGTTTTGTAATATCATCCTTTTTCACTTCAATGAGTCCATTTGCAATTCTTAACGAGATCGGTGGTTCTTTCACTGTCGTTTGTCGATGTTTGGATACGCCGAGATATTGACGAAATTCATCGTAGAGTTCAACTTTCTCCGGTTGAATGACAAATACAACTGATAGAGGATATTTCGCTACCAACTGTTGACATTCGCCGACTAACGTTTTCGCAATAAGATTAGTTGGACATCCGTATCCACCGCAACCGATCGCAGGAAATGCGATACTTTGTAAGTTTTTACCTGCTGCTGTAGTAATCACATTTTGAACTAACTGTTCAAGCGATCGACACAGTCGATCTTCGTTTGAACTGGGCGCCCATGGAACGAAATAGATTTTCTTGGCTTTGAGTGATCCGGTGGCTGAAATACTAATAACCGCTTCCTTATTATTTTGGTTCACCTTTTCATCAAAAGATGCTTTTAGTAACCTTCCACCCACTGTGAAAACACTGTCCATCAGATATTTCGACGTTGAACAAATAACGATCACATCAGTCTATATAATTTTTGCTTACTAATTAGAACATTTCTCGCCTTCGACTTACCGTTTGTGCCAATAAATCTGCTTGAATAACTGATATTAGCTGACTCGACTCATCGTTGTCGTCCACTTGCTGAAATAAACGTAAAATCCTTCCATTTGGTTGAGATAAATAAATAATATTACCTGACTTGAAAAATCTAAATCATCATCTTGAAAGGCATTTTCATATTTCAATTCATAGTAATAATGTACTTCATCCGATGAAATATTCTCATCTTGCTCAGCTTGTCTAACACGGGTCGTAGTCAGCAACATCACGCTCGAATCATTTGTTAATTCAAAATTATTCACCGGTGACAAATCAGTCGTATTCGAAATCAATTTCGGTATCCATCGTAGGAAACCTTCGATTGTATTCCGTTGATTTGCAAATGAGAAACTCTCCAAATCTAGCGTAATCTGTTCGCTCTCAAGAATTTCTAAATACAGATTAATATATCGTCGTCGATAATTCATGCCAGTTTCTAAGATTAAATTGACTCGATCATCGACCGTGTACCAAGAGTTAAATTGGATATTATCGTCTGATGTCATGTCGAGGATTTCAATCGAAGGTGAAAGATCGATGGTTCCGGTGGGATGCTTAGTGAACATCATTTGCCATTGGCCATAGCAGTGAAAGTTAAGAAGTGATGAACCACGACAGCGAATCCAGGCATAATTCCCGGATCGATTAGAACCTGGTTCGAAACGTAGGAATTTTGCTAGAGAGATCTGATGACGATCTCGACCTGCTTGAAGTTCAATGTTTGTTTTGAATGGTTCGCCAACGAGTGATTGTTGAAAATGGTTCGAAATTTCGGATGTGAAATGTATCCATTGTTCCATGGCAAGTGGTTTGTATTCCCAAATACAATCAACTGCCAGACCTCTCTGACCTTCGACTTCCTGTAGAATTGTTTTCTTTGGAAGCTCTGTTGAATTCGTCGAATAGCTAGGCAGTAGAAAATCTTGGAAAAAGCCTCGAATATTATGTTTCGATTTGCCATTTTGAACAGGTGTTTCATTGATACTATTCAATAGGAAATAATCTCCACCGTGAGAAATTAAATAGGTGACAACATCTCGATGCCCTTGATAACAAGCAGCATGCAACGCGGTCGAGCCAATAATCGCTTTCTTTGTATCACCGGATTGATCTGGCGGATCATAGGATTGATTTTGAGCATTGACAGAGCAACCTGCCTCTTCAATGAGATATTTGACTAAATCAAGATGATTATTTCGAGCTGCACAGTACAGAACGGTAGTTTCATAAGGGCTCGATTTATCCATTAGCTGCGGATAATTTTCATGAAACGCTTCGATAACTTCCTGATTGCCATCCCATGCTGCGTGAAATACATCAAGTGATGCTAGCACACCTTGAAGATCTTGTAAAAAGGACTCTAGCATATCGCTAGTAAACGAATCGGATAAGGTCTTGTTTGTTTCATTGTAGCCGTATTCACGCAGAATGTTGAAAAGATAATTTTGGCATTGCTTTGATAATGAAGAAAAAGATTTGTTGGCGATTGTTTTAATTGCCTTTCCTAAATCATTGATAAGCTGCGGAGAATTAGTTTCGCCGTCGGATTGACTTATTGTATGAGAGACAGCATCGATTAGCAGTTGAAGACATTCCTTCAACTTATTTTCGTCGTTGCTCGCAGTTGCCATAAATTATGAATGAAGCAGTGTTTCTCTTACGACTCTCGATACCACTTTTATTAACAAAAAGACAAAGAATTGTAATGCATTGCATACAGTTGTTTTTGGAGAAAAGTTTTTTTTCTTCCTACCGGTCATTATAATAATAGTAACTATCGACAAAATTTCCAACTTGCGTCGACGACGACACTTAGTCAAATTAAAAGAAGGTCTTTTTTCTTCTATTATGCTGCGAAAACGCTCAAACTTTCATTACCAAAAAACATGAATGTACAGAGCATCTCCTAGGTGAATACAAGTAGCAGCGATGATGTTTTTTAACATTAACGAGGCCTTATGGAATAGACGAGATCCTGTCGATTCACTCTCATCACATTGGGTGAGATTTTTAACATTCGTCGATATTGAAGTCCTGCAATGGTTGCTTTCTTTCCAAGACTCCTTATTTATTTCTAAAATACACGAAAATAGACGTCGAAAACTTCCTTTGAATTAGACGATCGCAATACATCACTCTCTGCTTTTCCAGCAAAAAAATTTACAGCTCTAAATTCGGTCTTTCGCTCATTGAATATTTTCGTTTTTGAAATCATTGAACAGCAGCACATTCGTTCAGATAGATGAAAATCGATACAAAGGTCATAGCCATCGATGTACAATTCAAATTATTCGATCAAATTAGCCATACTATGTCTTGAAGTCGCTAACTGATGACACCCTCTATTACTCGAAGATTATAAATAAAAGACGAACTGAATATATTCGGACGTGTTCAAAAAAGTGCCGGTAAAAATGTAGAAAATATAGGGATTATATCTTTCGTTCAAAAAAGCAAATCAGAATATTTCAGTGTGTTCGCCATCACTCTCGTCTATAAGAAAGAGAATATATAGATGCATAAAAAATGAAGTAAAAGGTGCATCTAACGAAATCATCAGTCAATAGAATTGATTTCTTCTGAATTCATTCGAAAGAAAGTGACATTGTTTGTGATGCTGCATTACATGACGCTGAGGCGATACCACCCCAATATCCACTAACCCAAGGGCATGGTCTTATTGTATAGTAACCTGTTGTACAGCTACACGTAGATCCCGATGAAGTGATTTCATAACCACTGCTGCATGGCCATACACGCCAGGGTATTCCATTATAAGTCAGGGCCATTGTAGTATTATAGCGTAAGGCAATGGCTAGAGCAGTGACAGTATTTGGATCAGTAACTGTGATGCCAACTGGATCATTTGAACCATAGATCCGCATTTTCGAATAACTTGTACATGTCAAACTAGCAGCAAATTGCTGCCATGCTGTGCACTGAGCAGCTTGAGTTGTAAAAGCTGTGAAGCTCTGTGAATATGTTACAGCACATGCTGCAAAGAATTGATGGAATAGAAGGGAATGGATCAGTTGAAATGAACTTACGTGATGATGACGATCGATTGTCTAAAACAAAAAAACAGCGATAACGGTACACGTTTTTATAGAACTCAATCAACATAGTGCAAATAAGTGCCAGGGTTTTCCGATTACCTATCTTTCATCCACACATACACCTACCTAGTACTAGCACGACGATGGGAATAATGATAGCTGCGAGTACTAACATACCCAATACAACCAACAATTGAATGCATACGCAACGTGGTACACTCCATCTAAATATTAATTTTATTAAATCGACTTGCATAGATCGATGCATTACCAACCTCGAACAAAATTTGGATGAAGCCGATGGAATACTTTGGAGACTATTTTGAGAAATGATTTGGGAATTATAGGAGGAATGTTGAAAGCTATTTTGTAAGAAAGATGACGGACCAAGTTTTTTGTTTGCTTTTTGCGTAGACTTTTTACTAGCGTTGATCATCTTGATTTTTGTCTTTCTAACAAAAAAAAACGAGAATGTGTAAAAATCAATCCTTGTATTTCATAATTGTCAGAAAATATGAGAACAACATTCTGTCACAAATTTCTGTTAACAAATGCTTCTAAGTGAAGCATTTTCATTTTGCTTATTTTAAACTCGATGATGTTATTGACTTTTTCTAAGTGAAGATGATTGCAATTTATCGGATATTTATCTTTCTCTCGAAAAGAAAAAGAGTGCAGCAATACAAACGAATCGTGCGCCCTCTTCATTCAATTTACACTGTGCTGATGCGAATGTTGTTAGTATAACAAGGAGATTGTGTTTATGCACTTGAAAAAGCAAATATTTCGGCACTGTTATTCTTGTTTGTAAAGAACATATGCAAATGTACATCTCTTCCTCCACGACGATTGTTTACCGACCGAGAGTGTAAGAGTGATACACTACGATATGTTAAAGGCCTTTGCATCTGCTGTATAAGAACCGGACGAAGCAGGAACCAACAAAAATAATCTTCATCGAACAACTACCAAAACATCTGCAAACTTTGGAAACTCTGGGCAAATTTTATGGCGATGGTGGTGCATACTTTATTGATAATAAACTAATATGGGCAAATCTATTCTTTCGTTTATTTGGTGAAACGATCTTTAGTTAATTTTGTATGGTTGAAACAAAATCGTGCTGAAATCAAACAGAATACGGTATATCTTCATGAGATGATTTCGATTGACACACATATTCTCATTCGCGTCTTCGAAATGCAATTCAATTTCATAGGGATTTAATCTATTTGTGATGATTACAGTACCGATATGGCGAAAAAGTGGAATATAACACCTAGTTCGTTCTCTCGATAAAAAATAGTTTTCGAAGACGAAGAGGCGTAATGCAAATGTTCTTTGTAATAGGTCTTAGTATTTTATTTGCAGCCAATCATGTTTATGCATTAGATTGTAAGATAGTAAAACAAGGTCAACATTTCATATCAACACTTCCATTCTACGGTTTCAAACAAGATCTTGTTCTTACAACACGCATCCGATTCAATGAATCTATGGCACGTTATCTCTTTCCATCAACGGAAAGTAAAGGTCGTTCATGTTCATTATCCTGGAATCAAGTATGGGGTGCTACACGGTGCGGTTATTTAACCAGCACTCAAATGGATTTAGATCGATTCGTATGGCGTCGTCCTAGTAGCTGTTTACAATATGATTCTAAAGGATATGTTGTTAATGAATATGATGACTGTCCTGAAAAGAATCTCATCGAACTAGCTGCGTCTGCTTATGATAATGGTTTGAAGCCATTTGAACATCCAGGCGTTTTATTGAAAGAATTTACGACGAAACCTCAAATCAATACGTGGTATAATTTCAAGTTGATTTTCGAGGACACGAAAACAACCTATCAGCTGCTTGATGAATCGAATCAACTTCTAGAAAGTCAATTTATTAATCATCATTCATGTGAACAATTTAATTTTGGTATGATACATGGTTTGTATTTTGGTGGAGAATGTCCAGCACCGCAAGATGTTTCAGTTTGTTATGATTCTTCATAGTTGACTGAAAACTAAATGCCAGAAATAAAATGAATAATCTAGATCGACACGTACAGTTTTAATCCTAAGCATCTAATTCAGAATGATTCAAACGGTATCTGACAGCTTTCGTGATTATTGTTGCAGCAGCTGAGAATACTATGCGTGTGATGAAAACGGAATGCATTGACGACTTTGCTTTTGTTCTGAAATCTGAATATAAAACGTTTAAAATATACGAACAGGCTACACGCCACTCTCGATCATTCTATAAACAAGATTTTATCTGCTAATAGTTCCATGAATACCTTTGTAAGCAATGCTACACTTTGGAATGCGTAGAATCATGTCACGCACTTAAACACGATTGGATTTTCCATGTGTTATTCTACCTGTTTTAGCACGATAAATTTCTTCTATTCTCTTTTTATCCCTAGCAAATAAAACTTCTAGGAACGATTAACTATTTCCAATGAATTTCTTTGTCTATGAAAGCCTCGAATACTTTTGTTTGACAGTCTTCTTTGCTCGTTTACATAAAACATCTTACTGATTGGTCAGGAATACAGAAGACAACAATCTTTTCGATAACGTATTTTTACCATCCTTCATTATCAAATATATCGTCAAAAGACCTAGATCAACTACTTGTTTATTCTGCCTAACGGAATGACTGTTCTTGTATGAATAGGAAAGAAAAGATATTCTCGCTGAAGTGGACGAATAAATATGCACTCTGATTTATGTTACTTTGCCATTCCTTTTTGACCTAGATCATCTGTATGAGTCATAACAAGAGAGAATAGCGTTCTTTTCTATCACGGGAGAAAAGTCGATAACGCATTTCTCCCATGTTGTCGTTCTAATGAATCATCATGTGTTTACATATAAATATCTAATATGCGTCGTTTCTTTTACGATTTGATCTAAGATCAGAGTACTGCATCGAACTTCACGAATCATGGCTAAACGTCTTATGGAAACGGCCAGTGAAATTTCCACACATTTCCGTTGTGATCATTGTGGCATTACGATCGACGACGTGGCTTGGAGACAATGTAAAATTTGTAAAATATTCGATCTATGCCATACTTGTGGTAAATTGAAGTACAATCAACTATTAGCGAGTGTTCGCGATGATCATACGCAGAGACACACGGAACTTGGTCAGTTTGAATTGATTACAGACGATTGTATCGAAAAGATACTCGTTGAACAAGCTGAAGCCAATAGTCAAACAATCCGAAACAAGATCAGAGAGGAACATTTGAATCGTATACAAAAGGAAAAGAAAATATCCAATGACTATGATATGTCAATCGTTATGGATGAATTAGAAAAACTGAAGAAAACATCATCATTACCATCGAAAGATATCGAATGGCATGGACTGGATTCATTACTTGCAAGATATCATCTAGAAGCACATGAACGAAACATACGTATACTGAGTTTAGATGGTGGAGGTAAGACACTTATCAGTTCGATACACTCAATATTCGTTGGTTTTCATTTGTTAATAGGTGTGCGTGGCTATATGCCGATTAAGATTGTCTCTGAACTGATTGCACAAAAGTATTTGTCTCTGAATGAACCATTTGATCCACATAATGCAGAACATAAGGAAGCATTTCAAAAAGTACAAGGAAAATTTACTGAACAATTCGATTATTTTGTTGGCACGAGTACAGGTGGATTAATCGCCTTTTGCTTAGCGATGAACTATAGTGTCTTGAAGATGATGGACATCTATGCAGATTATTCGTATTATTTCTGGCGCAATTATCTCGGACCAATTATCTATTCGAAATATAATCCAGCTCGTATCCATCAAAAGATCGACGATATTATCAACAGTCTCTCGTTCAAAAATGGAACAAAATTATCAGCAGAAAACGCGACATTGCTTGATATTCGCAATATCTTAAATCAGGACGATGTTATCAGTGGTGATCAAGTTCAATTACGTGCTTCTAACCATGGAAATCTATTAGAGTTTGTCGATGACACAAACAATATCGACAGCGCCAATCGCGTTACCAGTGACTACGGTTTTCATCGAATCTATCGTGAAAAAGTCTTACTCATTACTTCATACAACACAACAACAAATAGCATTACGATATTCAATACAAGTTACGCTCCACATTGGAATTATCGTATTGCTGATGTGTTGAAAGCAACCATGGCTGCTCCGACGTATTTTCCACCAATGGAGATCTTTACTGGAAAGAAAGTCGATGGTGTCTTCCGAAAAGATGCGCAGTCAGAATTATTCATCGATGGAGGTGTATTCGCTAATGATCCTGAACTATCAGCACTGTGGGCCATTCGAATGCAATGGAAAAAACCGGCGAACTATCATTTGCTTTCGATTGGTACTGGTTGCTATAAAACAACATTATCCTCGTCGACGTGGGGTGGTTATCTCGGATGGATAATGAACAAAGGCTATTTAGTAAACACATTGATGGATGCACCGCGTAGTTTCATCGAAATTATTGGAAGTAATCTGGCAAAATTCAGCAACATCAGACGAATGAAATTGAATTACAATATGAAACGATCGATGGCTTTGGACGATGGTGAATTCGTTCGTGTATTCGATAAAGAATGGGAACAATTGAAAACTGAAGAAGACTATAAAGCTTTTGTTTATTTCTATGAGAGCTATATTGTCAAACAAATTTGATTGAATATTACGATAAAACGTTCTTTTTTGTAGATAGTTTTTGTAGACAAATGGGACTTAATTTTTCTACACCGGATACTCTATTCAAACTGAACCATCTGATCATCATAGGATGGGTTGCATTGATTCTTGTACCGTTTCACAAAGTATCCAAATACTTGACTCTTCTGCCTGCGTTAATATTATCAATCGAATATACTCTTATCTTATTTTCTCGAGATACAACAAGTCTTCGATTGAATTTCTCGCATTTATCTGCATGGAAAACGTCATTCAACGATGTATTCATGATTATTAGTGCAAGAAATCATTTTTCCGTAATGGACCTTTGGGTCGCTCGATGGATGGTGTATGATTTTTATACTGGATACACATTTGCTTACAACGGTACAAATAAATCGTGGACATTCGGAAGAGTTCTTTTGACAATCGTTCTGTTAATCACTTATCTAGTCGCACCATTTGGATTCTTAATTTACAATCTGATGAAATATTCATTTTTGAAGAAATATCGAACCGAAGATCGAATAGTTATCAAACGTGGTCAAGGTTTCCTTGGAAATTTTCATACACAAAAGCGATTGTTCAGTCCTCAGATCGTTCGATTCGCTGATAAACTACCTGAACCATTACGTACAGTTTATTATTTCGTACTTGGTCTCGTTGGGCTAAGCATTTTATTCACGATTGTCCTACCTTCGTATCTCGTTCTGATTATCTACTGTCGAATTGTTTATCGAACACATTTAACATCGACTTCGAAATCATTGCCGAGTAAAAAGGTTCCGGAATTTGTTCGGAATGTTACTGCAACAATGCGATTATCATTAATCAGTACACCTCTCGACAAACGAAACCGCATTTGGCGTTTAAAATTTCTTCTCTTACAGTTTAGCACATTTATCGAATATATCGTCAATTCTTCGCAACCAGCTTATTTATTCAAAGCGTTGGAAGATTACTTTCGTCAAGTATATAATTCTCCGTATTATGTCTTGGGCAACGGAATAGCAGTGAATTCGCATCAATTGGTTAAACGCTACCTTCAAGAAATTCGGCCACGTAAAGATTACGAATTATTAGCATGGGAAGTTTCACAATCCTTGATAACATTTTCTAATTTTACAACGATTTTCTTGTCAACGGACGATCCGGATGTGAAATTAGGTCGGACGATTGTATTTCAATGGTTACATGCATTTCCGCACAACTTGCAAAATGGCAATTTCGAAACCAATTCGCAGCTGGCGCGAATCCTTCCACGCCAAATGAATGAAAAACCAACCGCAGATGTAGTTTATCAATCCGTCGGGGAAGTATTATTTTTCCTGGCAACAGGCGGCGAATTAACTAAAGATGAACGAGCAGCATTTATTGAGGGTGTTAAAAACCCAATGATATTCTTTCCGAATTGGTTCAATTTCTTACTGAATGGTCATTCCTTGGAACGCAAGAATCTACGTAGTTATTATGCTCTTCTTCAAGCATTTGCACGGTATGAGAATGGGCCTGCTCTACAAGCTGCTTTTGCAGCAGCAGAGAAGAAGAAGTCTCACGAAGAAGTTTTGAAATTTCTTACCGTCGTCTTTTGCATAGCAGGAAGTCCAGCACCGGCGAAATTAGCAGTGACTGTTATTGATCGATTATGGGCAGACAAAGAAAAAAACGTTCGTTTATTCAAAAAGAACCCGCATAATTTCATAAAAGAATGCGCTCGATTGGATAAAGTCGTTCCAACGGTAAACGTCTTGGCAACTGATGAAATCGCCGCGGAAATCGGGAACTCTTTTCAAAGTCAAGATATCAAAATTCCTGAAAATACACCCATTCACTGTTCTCTCGTGAACGCCAATCGTGATGAAACAGTTTTTCAAAATCCCGATGAATTCTTACCGGATCGACCTGATTTGAATAAAATTATCGTTTGGAATGGCGTTGAAGAAGATGTGACCAATCCGGATAAAAGCAAACGACCTATTCGTTACTGCCCCGGACATGATTTAGCTATTGATGTTACTCAATTCGTTGCTGAACGATTTTTACCGATCATCGACGATGCAGATGACGAACAAGAACAGAAGAAGACAGATACAATAGGTAAGTTTTGATGAAACTCATCACCCCCAAGATCTTTTTCTCAATTGTCTATAGAATCTGCATCACATGACAAAGAAGAGCAACAGAAGGACAACAATGAAAAAGATATGGTCTTGTTTGATCGAAAAACTCGACAGTTAAACGAAATGGAAAAGAAACGTTGTTGGAAAACATTAGACACATACACAAAATTGGTTTATCTATTAATGAAAACAGCTGTGAGTGAATCCAATCAATCTCCATCACGTGCAATCGATATTAGACCACCATTGAATTTTCCTGTGGAAAAACTCGGTATATTTCGAATTGATATGGCGAAATTTATCCCATCATGGGATGAAGATGAACCGAATGGTTCGGGTCTATCAAGAAAACTTGCTCGTTGGTTAGTCAACAGTACTCTATGGGACTTTTACGATTGTTTAGCCGAATTCGACACATTAGAACAAGCATTTGCCTGGCGTGCAAGGGTCTTTCCTGAATTGCCGTTACCAAATGTTGTCTATACAGACATGTTTTCCGACGAAGCAGTGAGTCGCTTAGCATTTTTCGGCTGTGCTTGTCATTACACGCAACGGATTGGTAACGGATGGAAGCCTGGCTGTGGGATTCCTGAACAAAAATTGCTGACGAATGCAGTGTATGTTAATGATATGACTGGTTTATCGATATTTCGTGTTCGAAAACCATTTGAACGGTACGGAGCAGCGGTATATTTCGACAAAGATTTTCAATTAATTGCCATTTACTGGTGTCATGCTAATCGTTTGATAGAAAAGAACGATCAATTTTGGGAACATGCAAAATATGTCTGGCGTTCATCATTCTTCGCTTATGTCACTATATGTGATCATCTGATTGTCACACACATGATCGAATGCAATGCTTTCGTGACTGCAACACGAAAATGTTTACCAAGCGATCATCCATTACGAGTATTTCTGAAACCATTTACATATCATACAGTTTCAGTGAATTATCAAGCTGCAGTGTCGCTTGTTAATCGACGTGGCTTAGTACATCGCATATGGGCATTTGATTATGATGAATTTTTGAAAGTGTGTGATTATATATCAGCAAATTATAAATTTCGATTGTTACCGGAATTTATCTCTCCAACGATGTCGCCGAAGAATAATCATGTCAGCCGAGAAGAATGGGACAAGGCTTATCCGATTTATTCAGATACGAAAGAATTCTGGAGAATTATTCAGCAATACGTGGCAAATTTCTTTCATATAACCTATCATCTTCGCGTCGAAATCGATCCTGATGATGACAATGATGAAAAACGTGTTGATAAGGACGTCTGCGATGATAAATTACCCGTCGATTCCTACATGATGGACTTTATCGATGACTTATGCAAGCAACTTGGGATACCTGGTATTACTTCATTGAAGAGATTCGTTGATGTTCTATCACAACTGATTGCTGATAGTACGGGTATTCATGAACATGTCGGTCAGATTAGTGATTACATGATTGATCCGAGATTTATTGGTGCCAAGTTACAAGAAGGAAGAGAAATGCAGAACATTCAAACGTATACACAAATACTGATTTTAACTGTTGTTACAGGCTTACGTATGCCGGGAATAATGGAAGATTGGAGTCATTTAATCGAACATAATCAAGATTACGAAAAGAACCTCAAGAATTATCAAGATTTCAAGAGTCAATTACGCAAACTTTCGAAACGTGTGGATGAGAGTAATAAAACACGAAGATATCCGTTTCAGTCATTCAACCCAAGATTTATTGAATGTTCAACATCGGTTTGAATCAATCCGTAACATTTCTTACTAACTCAAACTGTATTAGAATTAGATTATTAGATATTTTTTATCACAAGAGATAGACTCTCGTTTTTGTTCTCTTCACATATATATATATTCGAAATAAACTAAACTCCTTCTACCATCGAAATTTTAACTAAATACAAAGATTCAATGTTGTCATCTCTTCATGACGAAGAGATAATAAAGTATTCTTGCCAAATCCCTTTTACATGGAAAAATCAACTCCTGAAATTGCATTCTCATACTGTATATATCGAGTATAACTCGAAATTATTCGATAGTTCCATGTAAGGCTGATTGGTATTCTCAGTCAGACGTTTCACATCCACAAGATGATTGAAGAACACCTTAATCGATAGGAAAAGCTCGTTCAGTGTTGTATTGTATTGGACAGACAATTCGGCTTCCGTTAACACATTGGTAGTGATAAAGGATTGCATCGTGAATCGATCAGCCGCGTTTTTGGTGATCTCATTTGCTAACTTGCAGAGATCTGCCTAGAATCGAAACAGTCTAGAGCAGCATGACGATTATTAGTCAGATGCAGTATGCTATGCCATTTTCTGTCCACCAAGCGGCTCTGATATACTGAATGTAATATTGGCGTCAATGAAACCAATGTTGTATAAGGAATTGTCGTGGCGAAACAAGACTGGTTAACTGTTCTAGAAAACATACTTTGTAATTCATTATATCCGGTCAGCGATGACTTAGCTTTGAAGAAGTGTCCTATGAAGTTTGGTGGTAAAACTCAACATATTTATCATTGATACTAAATAAACGTATGCCATCATCTTCTATCTTTTTCTGCTCGTGCATTGGCAGTTTTGAACAAATTGATCGATTTTATTGAGTGAATCGGCTGTTACTTGATTGTGTATCGTAGCAATGGATGTGCTCACAGTTAGTAGTGTACTGTTTTGCAAAGAAAAACATCTGGTTCGGCTCGAGCATGAGTAATCGGTGCCAAGCGTATAAAATAATTTTGATCAGAAATGTCGTGATCAAGCGGAGTAGAATGGTACGATCCCCATAGAGATTAATGAAAAGAGCAATCGCATGAGACACATTCTTCTGATCCATTTTTTATATGTGCAAGACGAAGGAGAACCTCTAGTTAAATATTCTAATTACGTAGTCAATGCTTGTTGGCGAAGAAAGTTAGATATATGGTTTTTGATAGGATTCGGTCCTTCCTTTAAAAATAAGCAAAACAAACAATGCAAGATCGTACGGACTTGATTAAGTATTGGAAAATGTTTGGACAAGACATGTAAACATTCGGCTTTATACAAGTGATCAAGAGTATCTTCATACTCAGCGTTGAGAATACTACACACTGTATAAGAAAACCACCAGGCGTATATTCAGTCTCGAAAAAGGACGTGTCCATGATTTGAGTTTTGTCATATCTGGATCATTTTTGCCGCCGATCAGAGTAAAGACAGCTTGTCCACGGATTTCGGATTTGCCCTTAGTGAGTACAAGGCCTCGATTCACTGTTCGCTGACAAAAATACTCGAGCAAATTGGATGGAATAGGACATTATGGTAGTTTTCTAAAATGGGTACAGCAATGCTTGGTTACGATCTTGATAGAGTTGATCGAAACGAGAACAAGTGTTATTCGAGACCAGAATCGTATTACTTTTGTTTTTGTTAGAACACACAGAAACAAGAAATCCTGTTCGACGCTTCATTTTGAAATGAGAAAAATACGTACATCGATTCTATTTTTACCTTCTTTCAAATCCGAAGAGAAAAAAGTAATTTGCAAGATCAACGACATACGAATCGATCTAATGTTATCTTTACTGAGAAGTGAATGACGCACCAATCAGTAGGATTTTTCTGAAGCCCAACGAAGCGTAATCAGTCTGTATTTTATCGAACTATCATCTAACAGATAGGATACATTAGTCGGTTGTGTTGAAATATCCGTCCAATTGATGACCGGTAAAAAGATACACAAGCAAGCGGAGTACTACTGCTGTTCTAGATCGTCTGACAATTGTTGTATACTACAACAAGCATCATCATCAGGATCAGAAGCAATTCGAGATTACGTTGAAATCTCAATGGCTTCTTATAAGTACGTATTTCATTCCAGAAAACAGGAGTTATCTAAATTATTTCTCGCAGTTTTCATTTGATTTCTCTTTAATTGATCATACACAGAATTAAATTCTTGCTCGTATGACATATGCAGTATTTGGTGAAAAGTATATATACTCGAGCATAAGTTAATAAGCAGCACCACAGTTAAACACGAGAGCAGAGAGAAATACGACCGAAAAGTGCAAAAGAAAAAAGATAGCCAGATTAGAGCAAACACTGAGCAAGTCATGGTAAATTAGTATGAAACGTGTAGTTTTTGTGTATACGAACTTGTCACTATAGCTCTCTCTCTTTATCTGTTTTTATAAGATTGTCCAGTCTACGAACGTTAACATAAATTCGGTTTGCTTCTTAATTAAGTTCATTAAGGTTTTAATTTTTCTTGAACTATCCATGATACAAAGGAGACTGCTCTGAAACTAATATTACAAGTGGCACGGCGCCAGGATTTTCATTTAGACAGGGCTCAGTCCTCAAAATTCGATACTTTTGTAAGAAAATCATTAGTATTCTACGGAATTTTTAAAAGACCTGAAGGGACCGAGTCCCCGCAAGCCCTCCATTGACGCCGTCACTAGTTATATAGTATTTTTTCGAACCACTTGTACCCTTATGATCAGATGTTGCCAAGCGGCAATATGTTAGTATTCTATACAGAGTCAACTCTTTCGGCCTGATGATGCGCTTTGACAACCTCGGCACCTAAAAACAAGGGAAATACTTGCAATAATAACTTTCTCCCGATTGTCTTCTGATATTCGACTGTAAAGAATTAAATGATCATTCAGAATTTATGCGTAACACGTTTAATTGTTTTTCTGTAATTAAGCAATTCTGCATGTGTGATTACTTGAGAACTTTTTTGGAAACATGAATTTGTTCAATTGGTGATTTCATTTAAGAAACATTGATATATGATGAACAGCGCAGCAGAGACTTCTATGGTTTATACATGTGCTTGGCTACGGTGCCGCGAGACTGAAAACTTTTAGGATTTCTATTTTCTCTGGTCCTATTGGTTGGGCTTTCTGCATGCGAGTACGATATTGTTGAATAAGATTACTAATCATTTTAAACAGATAAAAGTAATAGATTTTTCACTAATATCCGCCTTTAAAAAGCTGTCTTCGCTATTGTTTCGATAATAAAAACAAATGTAAATAGTTTATCTGAGGATATGGGTACGAATCGATAAACATTTATTCATTAGACAGACACTGACGTCTTCAATAAAACTATTGTTGTCAGAAAACAAAATAACAATCTCCAGTTACTGATAAGAATGTTAATACCAGCACCACTTGGAGCATCTTCTACTGGAAACAGTTGAATTTGAAAGTTATCTGTGTCACTGATGTACAGATCTAGTTTTGAGTTAAACGCCAGATAGATAGGACGATTTAGCTGACTGTTACCGCCTGCGATGATGGTAGCATCTTGTATGCCGGGCGATACTGCAAGAATCCGATCGTTACGCTCATCCACTACATATATTGTTCCAGTTTTGTCGCGCAGAAGCGCAGCTGGTACGTTTAATTGATCTGTTCGGTTTCCTATACCGTGACCACCAAAAACGACTACTCCTTCCTTAGCATTTGCCTCCCATTTTATGATACGTTCATTATTCGAATCTGCGACATAGACAGATCCATCTTGATCTACTGCAACACCTCGGGCTATAAAAATTCGGACATCAACAATCTAGTAAAGTGAACAGATATGGTCTACGTACGATAATCAAGTTGATTGAGAGCTGCTCCACGACCATGTCCTCCAGCAACGATAGCGACGAATTGTCCATCTTTTGTATATTTGCTAACTTGATGTTCACGATGATGTCCAAGATAAAGAAATTCCTCCTTTTCGTCCCAAACAATGCCATACAAAGACGAATTCGTCATAATGAACATCTCGGTTGTAGTAGCTCCTGACTTCTTTCGTACCACTCCTCCATTTGTACCATTTTCTACGGTGACATACATCGTTCCCTCTCTATCAAATGTCAAAGCAGTAGGATGACACAAATGGTCATGATTGTCGATTCCACATTGACCTCCAGCATAGAGGATGCCAGTAGTCGCATCCTTTTCCCATTTCACTACTCGATTATTAGAGTAGTCACTAATAAAAAGATCATCATTCAACTGCACAAAAATCCCATACGAAGAATTCAATTGGTTGAGAGCATTTCCCGGACCGTGACCTCCAGCGATTACTTTACCTTTGGATGACCATGTTGTTCTGCCATGTAGTATTTCTAACATTATGGAAACCATAGTTATGATTTCCTACGATCTCTGTAAAACAACGAGTATTTTTTTCAGTTACTCACCGTGTGACATCATTGAACCACGACGATCATTCTTATTTGATGCACAAACTATTGTGTGTACTACGACGAAGAATAAGAATAGATGCTGCATTGTTATCACTAGATACATTAAAATGAAGCAATACTACTGTTTATATCGAGAAAGGTAACGTCAACATACTTTCGTAATCTTCAGAAGTAAATAATGACCTACCTTTTTCTTGACTCAATTCTCATTTCTCTTCATCACGAGTGATATTGCAAATTATTTCTTTACTTTTACGGATAAACTAGAATTGGTTTCTCTGTTTAATAGTTTCAGATGAATAAAAGAAATACAACAATTCTATAGTATGTTCGAGCAAAAAGAATTTGTATATTTTTCTTTATTAAACATTTGTTTTACAAACAACGAATTTGCTTTTTGTTTACTTGATTTTTTTCTAAAATATTCAACAAAAGATATCATGAGCCTATTGTTGAATAAGAATGAAGTGACTAATGATATAGAACAAACGACGGTACGAAATCCGTGTTGAAACATCATCGTTCATGTCATAGGCAAACTATTCTTTCACAAAAATGTTCGAACAATTCGATTGCACCTAGAAGAATTACTGGAAAATTGACATTGGCTTGTGCGAGGACTTGTTACTATAGGTTGTTAACCATTTGAATTCGTTGATGATGAAGATTTTCTAAAAGTGACTCAAGTTGCCTTTGATGTTGGTCAACATTTCAGTCTTACATCGAATATTAGTATTAATGATTCGGTTCCTTCATCTGTTACAGTAATTACATTAACTTCTAATATATGAGGCATGATTATTTTGTCTCTATTCTTCTTCTTTTTGATAGATTGGTAGACATATTGATCGTTTGTATGAACAAGAAAAAACTGGATTATTAAAATAATGTTCCGAAATGGAGTCTTTTTTAATATAGTACGTGATTTCTGGACCAAACGATATACCGGTTAGTTACTTCTATTTATGCTTTTAAAATAAAAGATACAATATAAAATGAACATACTCCTTCTAATTAACTCCTATTTTCAATGTATACTTTAGGCATTTCATATTTTGACTTACGGAAGTATTTGTCATTTGGAAGCACATTACGAAATAGTTCTATCGTTTACATAGAGGCATAGCGATCGACTTGTGTATTATACACTTTGACGTTGATTCTGCAGAGTCTAAGCAAATTGTTTCTTTTTGAATTCTATGAATCTTTCAAAAACGAATCTTTATCCAACCGTTTCTTTTGAAAGACAAAGTAACAAACATTTTTTCTGAAAGCTTTATAGAGTTAAAATACTCGTCAAGTGCACAGCACTACTCGATTACGTTAGATATTCATAAAGATGCGATATATACCACATTCTACGTAGGATTTATGAAATAGGCAATGCGTATTACAAGAAACAAACGAGGCCTGTAAAGCGATATGATACATATATGGAACTCGAGATTGCAAGGTTCCGTTCTTTTCGCCTTTACTTTCCGTGTATTTTACATACAGAAATTGGCAGATAGTTTCAGCATTAAGAAATGTTCAAATAAATGGGCAGGACAACATATACGAATCTTTTTAAACAGTGTGTTGTTCTCTTATAATATCAAAAAAGAAATTTCTATTGAGATTCAGGTGCGACTTGATTAATATCAACGATTGTTCCACAACATCGTTGGAAATAAATCTTATAAAGCACAAAAAGGAACTGTTGTCGATATCTCTTCGATATACAAATGTAAATATAGAAAGGAACCTATCAATGAAACAAATGATTGGCTTAATTAAAAGTTCAAATTAAATAATTACCGTGTAATATGAATAATAAAGACATATGGTTACACTTGAGACTAATTGTATTTTAGCATTAATGACAGGATCGCTGGTGAATTGTATATTACTTGTCAATGTAGTTAAGATAAAGAAAGGCGTGATTAGTAAAACACTGATCAACGCTTGTGTAAGAATCATTGATGTTATTTGAATTTCATGTTGACGACGAACAAGAGGTGCTGTTCGATAAGACATCTGTTTCATATTACTATAAATCATTAAGCCGAAAGTAATGATAAACAAAAGAGGAAATGTATTCAACAAAACTGGTGTATAAAAGCGATTAACATAACTTTGAAAAATGCTATTTGTAATCACACAAACAGCTATGTTTGTTACTGATGAAACTACGGCATTATAATATATCAAATGAGGAATACAACAAACTATCCAAAAGAGACTAACAATAATACATAAATGGTAAGCGATCTTGCGATGGCTCCAGTCTTGTAATCGTTTATATTTTGATGTTGCCATATATTGATCAAGTAAAGCCATACAAATGCATGACATGGAAATGAGTGCACAGATTTGAACGAGATATACTCGGATTGTGCAATTACCTACATTTATAACGATTCCATCGATTAATGGTCCTCGAACGAAAATCAGATAGAGAAAACCAGCTAACAACTGAATGATGTTGACAAAAGATATGGTTATTAAATAAATTCCGCAAGAATTTTGTCGAAAGATTCGAAGACTAAGAAAAACGACTATATTCAATATACCACCTAAAACTCCAAAAATGATAATTGGTAAGCCAACATAAACGTAGATTCTGCTGGAAGTATAATTTATTGAGGAAACTGTTGAAGAAGACATTTGTGAACGAATCGAAACAAATGATTCTAGTGTCTAAAGTCAAACTTATAATCATTTTACAATTATTTATAAATATATAAACAGATGATGAAATACAAATGTCATCTTAAGAAAATAATCTGACAACATCCTGTAAGACTCGGAAAAAGTCATAAAAAATATTATGCTGCATATCTGCATGTGATTAAAGATTTGTTTTAGTCGAACATTGAGAGATAAGTCAAATGACGCTGTGCTTACGGTTGATGGTGATGTTTTTACCATTTTTAAATGATTTATAAAAGAGCTTTTAGTTGAAGTCAAAGAAGAATCTCGTCCTTTTGGAAATTAACAACTATGCACCGTTATGATAAACAAAGATTGCTCAATTAGTTAATTTGTCATAAGCAGAAGAACGGCGTGTTTGGAATCTGTTAACGCGAACTGCAAAAAAATGCACGCGATTTCGATATAAGACTAATCTGAATGGATCTATGTCAAATTGGTACTACAATGACGCATTTCTCTGCTAGTTTAGAGTACCTAGAACATATCAAGAGAAAATATCTTCGAAGTACAAACGAATAGAGAAATATTTGCTCTTCCTCCGTTGTCTGAAACACTAATAACATTTGACAAAATCCGATTATATATATTTGGATACAACATACTTCATTACGTATAATTACAGTAGTTTCTTTTTTCTTTCTCTAAAAGATAATTATAGCCATGAAGATGGAAAGAACTTTGTACAAATAGATAGTCTCGTGATTTAGGCAAGTATTGAATTTTGAATCGGTGAATTTAACTTCAGTTTATGCAGCAGTGAGAAAGAAAAAGTTAAGTTAACGGAGATCTTTCTTTTTTCTTTAACATCGACTCAAATTAAGAACTAAGGATCTGTTTCCTTGAGAACCATAAATGAAGATATTTTACCCACAGTCTATATGAAACTAAGAATAGAGATGAGAATAAATTATTTAAAAGAAGATCTTTTTCCCGTGAATATGCCTCTGCTACCATGGAGAAGAAATCATTATTTTGAAAGTTCAGATATACAAGCAAAACAACTTCTAATTTGTTTATAATAACCATTTAACTATTTTTCGTTCATTCTTGTTGTTTGGATTCTCGAAGATATCGAAACAGATATGATCCGTGCAAAAGTAGAAATAGCGCCTGCAATTACTCTCCAAACACATGTGTCCTTTACTAATCTGTTTATGTGAAATGCATTTTTTGTTCGTCTATTCGTTTAAATTTCATTCTTATCAATTGATCATTTGTAAGCCATTTCGCGAACAATAAAATGAATGTTTTAATACTTTTTTCCTCAAAAAAGAAAAAGTGACTCTGTAGGTATCTAATGTGATTGATCAGTACAGATAAGAAATCTTGACGGAGACTTCCTTGTAATGAACTAACGACGGTTCAATTCATTGAATTATATTGATTGTTTTCACTGATATAATATCGAAAAAGGAAATAAAGCATTGATATAACACGAATATATGTTTTAAACTATCGCAGAAAAAAAAATTTTCAAAAATTAAAATCTTCAATTCATCTGTCATCACTGACTATGTTTCAGATCGATTTCATGTCGATCTAATCGAAAAACATGTTATTTCTAATTCGAATCGTTTCATTTTTTTTCTTTCATTCTGTTCATAAAAATTGATTAACATGAGAAATACTTCTCACATGTGAAAATATTCATTTCAAGACACATTTCTTCAATAATTATCAAAACAAATCCATTTGTCAATTCTTCTCATTTTCATCGATCAACAAATTCTATCGAACAACAAATGAAAGGGATTGATTGGGAAAATCTTCTTTTTCTTCATGAAGATCATCGATAAATTCTTTTTCCTAAAAAGAGAAAAAACTAAATCCCTTTTCTCTTTTCAGATGAAAAATTGAAAATCTTTCGGAAAAATTCTTCATTCTAATGTAAAATCTTCATCCATTCCAATGTTTCGCTTTAATTCATCACAATTTGCATCTTTACATGAAAAAAAGCAAAGATTATTAAAGAAAGATTTGTGTTTCTTTAATTGTCTTTGCAAAATAAAATCATTTTCAACAGATTTTTTGCTATCCACAAATCGACTTTTCAGTTCGATTTTCATCAAAACTTCATTTGTTTCCTTCAAGTTCTTCGTGCTAATTTCGTTCGAAATTGAAACAGAAATGAAAAATAGATCTTTTCAGTCACAATTTATTTAATCTATTGTCAGCTCAACAAGTTTTCCATTTTCACAATTTCTTGTTTTTAGTTTGAAAAAGAATAAAATATTTAGTTGAACACGTTTATCGATCAATACAATTCGGCACTGTTGAGAGGACAGCACCCACCTGCCACTAATATAGTCTTATTGTATAAAATCGATGCTGTATGCTGATTTCGTGCAACACTCATATTTCCAGTTGTTGTCCAATTGCCTGTTGATGGATCATACAATTCAGCACTATTCAGAGAAACACTACCAGTCCATCCACCAGTGACTAAGACTTTTCCATTTGATAAAATCGATGCTGTATGCACATGTCGTGCAACACTCATATTTCCAGTTGATTGCCATTCTAAACAAAACAAACATAAATTCAAACTCGATTTTTTTTCTTCCCAAAATCTTCGAAATGAGAATGAAATTACAAAAGCAAAGTTGTCTTTCATATAAAACAGGACTTTTTCGTTTATTTTAAGAAAATCCTTAGAAAACTTTCCTAATGAAACAGTTCCAGACAATTTACAATTCAAAATGATTTGTTTCTTTGATTTTTCCTTTCAACTTACGTCCTGCAATGATAATCAAATCAAATTTTTGAATCCGGTGGTTTTGTTGATCAACGACAAAGATATTTCCAAATAAATCAAATTGAAGATTTGACGGAGAACTCAGTTGATTTGACGGAGAACTCAGTTGATTTGAATTAGAACCCGCTGATTGATTACATCCGACTAAACAATGAAAACCATTGGAATTTTGTCCGATGATTCGATGATTGTTGGAATCAACAACAAATACAAAACCTTCATTATCCAATGTGATTCCATTTGGACAATTCAGTTCAAATGTTCCATTCGAAAGAATTGTCTCACCTTGAAATGAACCAAAGCGGAATTTCTGTATTCGATTATTTCCACAATCAGCAACAAATAGAGTTGAATTATTCTCATCGAGAAATATTCCACGAGGATTTCGAAGTGTTGTTGATGTTGATCCTTCACTTCCTGTTCCAGCCACGATTTTCAAATGATTCCATCGATTGAGTAATGATTTCGAAATGATTTGATGTTGTTCAGATAATGAACAAAACAAAGTTTGATTTTCACTCACAAAAATATCAAAACATTGTTCACAAAAGTTCATTCGTAAAATAGAACTCACTCTCCACGATGAATTCACTTCGATTTGACTTACAACACTCACATTTGATGAATAAAATGTATCAACATAGATCTTCTCTTCGTTCGTCACAAATAAACTTGACGAGTTCTTCAAATTCATTGAAATATTTCTCATCCAACTCACATTTCCTTCAACAAAAATCACAATTTGTTGCTTTTGTTCATTTGAAATGTAAATAGTATTGTTTTCATCAATAAACAAATCAAAGAGACTTGTTCCGATCATCGTTTCATTTACGATTGTTGTTCCATTTGGATTCCATTGAGAATCAGATGAAAGACTTGGTCGATTGTAGGAATAACCTTAATTCAACATTTGATCAACTTAAATCAGATCTTCCAAACGAAATCTTACCTGCAACTTCGTCGAGAATGAACAAAAGAATCAACAAATGAACTTTTGTGTGTTGCACCGACATTTATGAACGAATTCAAAATGATTTTTCTCACAAGAAGAGTTTTTATCGGGAAATCTCTTTTGATTATTCAAACACAAAACGGCAAAGGTATGACTTTTAATGAGAAAACATTTCGAGGAAGCCAAATATTTTCTCAAATCTATTTTGATTTGGATAAATACAAGAAAATCATTAACACAATATTTGAGTTTTTCAAATTTCAGTTAAAAGTTTCTTTTGTTTTGTAATGAAAAAGAAAAATCAAATGTTTGACTTTTTATTATGACCGCAACGACCAAAATCATTGACAAGTAAAAATAAATTTTCCTGGAAGATCAATATAGAAACGTTCATTATATAGTTAAATAGTGCTTCTCTGACTTCAAACAGACCATATAGTTTATTTCTTCACCATGACATCGATACAATGAATCAACCGCTTCTTAACTTCTTAGGTTGTGTAATTATAGAAGAGATCGCAGAAAAGTAAAATAGACTTGTGGAGTGTGGGTAAGAAATAATTGTAACAAAAAGTATGAATTAACTATTTAGAAGAACAAAGTCATTGTGAATAATCTAAGAAAAATGAAACAAATTATTTTACAAGAACATTTACCTGATTTATCATTTGACTTGACGCATACTGAATAATTTCATTCAATAAATCATTTTGAAATGCGGAAAACAAACAAAAGATTCATTTTAATAAATATTATCTCTATATAGTAAAGTGAAAACGAAAATTTTCGCCATTCTCTATAGTTTTTGGTTGTTGTTTCCTATTTGAAAAACGTCTTTATCATTTATGAATGCATCTCCAAGTATACCTATACCTTAGAATCCCAGAAAATATGGATGGTCACAAGTGAAACTATTCATCTATTGAATGAACTTAACGGAATCATTTTCACTCAGGAAGTCCTATTTGTTAACCTGAATCATTGTGATGAAATGATATCTCTGTTGAATGTTTGTAGACGAATTGAATTGAATTGAATATACGTGTCATCTTGTTAGTGACAATGAGATACTTAGGACATACCAAGCGTAATCACAGTGGCACTTTTCTACTCTCGAGTAAAGTTCAAGAAATTTTCTCTATATAAGCAGTCTCATAGAAAAGATCAAACTCCATCTCTCTATGTCACTCGATTACAGTTTAGAAAGTGTAACACCAATAAACTTTTTATAAGATTTGTTTTGTCATTAGATTAACTCGTTATAAATTTGCATTCCAAACTTTGGATCGTTTTTTACGGACATGAGTAAGTAGCAAAATGTACTATATGTTGCAGTGTAAACAATACAACTCAAATAAGAATATCTATTTCGCACTTGTTAATTTTTTATTCAAGAGTAGGAAAAATCGAGATGATCAAACTATTTATGATTAAAGATAACGGTTTTCATCGCTAAACAATCAAATTTTTATGATGACAGGAGTTCATCACAAAAAATGATTCATCAGGAGACAAATCTAAGATGCAGCGTCAAGAGTTCTTACGATCTACTCAGAAAAATGTATTTTAATTGTTTTCAAAAACAGTTTAGTTTATTAGACCCTTACCATCTGGTATTGGGTGAAGATCAAAAGTACAAAAAAAGAGAAAATAAAGAAAAGCAGTTGTTTGATCGTTCATTCGGTGGTTTCTTGCTCGATCGTCGTAGCGCTTGATCACCATAGCTATTTGTCCGCGTCCTACCTCCCACCCATCTCGGATTGGTTTCAGTAGCACCCATCATCGTGCGCATGGTGAAAAAAACGCAGCTTTTTTGGCAGGCGAAGGAATTAGCGTCCGATAATGTTATTCTTCCTGCACCACATCACGGCGCAGCGCCTCACGTGGTTGGTTATTCCTTGTGGCTTGAACAGCTTCTTGCATTATGGACACTTGTAGCTGTTGTTTGCGGTTCGTGTCAGCNCGAGTGATAATGCAATTTATTTCTTTACTTTTACTAATAAACTAGAATTGGTTTCTCTTTTTTATCCAATAGTTTCAGATGAATAAAAGAAAATACAACTATTTTATAATATGTTCGAGCAAAAAGAATTTGTATATTTTTCTTTATTAAACATTTGTTTTACAAACAACGAATTTGCTTTTTTTACTTGATTTTCTTCTAAAATATTCAACAAAAGATATCATGAGCCTATTATTGAACAAGAATGAAGTGACTAATGATATACAACAAACTACGGTACGAAATCCATGTTGAAACATCATCGTTCATGTCATGGACAAACTATTCTTTCACAAAAATGTTCGAATAATTCGATTGTACCTAGAAGAATTACTGAAAAAGTAACATTGGCTTGTGCAAGGACTTGTTACTATAGATTGTTAACCATTTGAATTCGTTGATGATGAAGATTTTCTAAAGGTGATTCAAGTTGTCTTTAATGCTGGTCAACATTTCAGTCTTACATCGAATATTAGTATTAATGATTCGGTTCCTTCATCTGTTACAGTAATTACATTAACCTCTAATATATGAGGCATGATTGTTTTGTCTCAATTCTTCTTTTCTTTGATAGATTGGTAGACATATTGATCGTTTATATGAACAAGAAAAAACTCGATTATTAAAATAATGTTCCGAAACGGAATCTTTCTCAATATAGTATGTGATTTCTGGATCGAACAATATACCAGTTAGTTACTTCTATTTATGCTTTTAAAATAAGAGATACAAGATAAAATGAACATGCTCCTTTTTAATTAACTCCTATTTTCAATATATACTTTAGGCATTTCATATTTTGACTTACGGAAGTATTTGTTATTTGGAAGCACATTGTTGACTTATGATTGTTGCAGAAAAATATGAAATAGTTCTATCGTTTACATAGAGGCAGCGATCGACTTGTGCATTACACTTTGACGTTGATTCCAGAGTCTAAACAAATGGTTTCTTTTTTGAATTCTATGAATCTTTCAAAAACGAATTTTTAATCCGACCGTTTCTTTTGAAAGACAAAGTAACAAACCTTTTTCCGAAAGTTTTATAGAGTTAAAATACTCTTCAAGTGCATAGCACTACTCGTTTACGTTAGATATTCATAAAGATGCGATATATACCACATTCTACGTTGGATTTATGAAATAAGAGTATGTTTACAAAAGATTCACAGGGTTGAGCGGTTGTATGAAAGCGCTGCGAGGTTTATTATTTCACATCGATGTTTTACAATGCGTATTACAAGAAACAAACGAGAGATCTGTGAAGCGATATGGTACATATATGGAACTCGAAATTACAAGGTTCCATTCTTTTCGTCTTTGCTTTTCATGTATTTTACATACAGAAATATTCAAATCAACGAACAAGACAACATATACGAATCTTTTTAAACAGTTTTGTTCTCTTATAATATCAAAAAAGAAATTTCTATTGAGATTCAGGTGCGACTTGATTAATATCAACGATTGTTCCATAACATCGTTGGAAATAAATCTTATAAAGCACAAAAAGAAACTGTTGTCGATATCTCTTCGATATACAAATGTAAATATAGAAAGGAACCTATCAATGAAACAAATGATTGACTTAATTAAAATTTCAAATGAAATAATTACCATGTAGTATGAATAATAAAGACATATGGTTATACTTGAGACTAATTGTATTTTAGCATTAATGACAGGATCACTGGTGAATTGTATATTACTTGTCAATGTAGTTAAGATAAAGAAAGGCGAGATTAATACAACACTGATCAACGCTTGTGTAAGAATCATTGATGTTATTTGAATTTCATGTTGACGACGAACAAGAGGTACTGTTCGGTAAGACATTTGTTTCATATTACTATAAACCATTAAGCCGAAAGTAATGATAAACAAAAGAGGAAATGTATTCAACAAAACCGGTGTATAAAAGCGATTAACATAACTTTGAAAAATGCTATTTGTAATCACACAAACAGCTACATTTGTTACTGATGAAACCACGGCATTATAATATATCAAATGAGGAATACAAAAAACTATCCAAAAGAGACTAACAAGAATACATAAACGATAAGCAATCTTGCGATGACTCCAGTCTTGTAATCGTTTATATTTTGATGTTGCCATATATTGATCAAGTAACGCCATACAAATGCATGACATGGAAATAAGTGCACCGATTTGAACGAGATATAGTCGGATTGTGCAATTACCTACATTGATAACGATTCCATCGATTAATGGTCCTCGAACGAAAATCAGATAGAGAAAACCAGCTAACAACTGAATGATGTTGATGAAAGACATGGTTATTAAATAAATTCCACAAGAATTTTGTCGAAAGATTCGAAGACTAAGAAAAACGACTATATTCAATATACCACCTAAAACTCCAATAATGATAATTGGTAAACCAACATACACGTAGATTCTACTGGAAATATAATTTATTGAGGAAACTGTTGAAGAAGACATTTGTGAATGAATCGAAACAAATGATTTTAATGTCTAAAGTCAAACTTATAATCATTTTACAATTATTTATAAATAAATAAACAGATAATGAAATTCAAATGTCATCTTAAGAAAATAATCTGACAACATCCTGTAAGACTCGGAAAAAGTTATAAAAAAGATTATGCTGCATATCTACATGATGAAAGATTTGTTGTAGTCGAACTTCGAGAAATAAGTCAAATAATGTTGTGCTTACGATTTATGTTGATGTTTTTGTCCTTTTAAAATTATTTATAAAAGAACTTTTAGTTGAAATCAACGAAGAATCTCGTCCTTTTGGAAATTAACAATTATGCACCGTTATAATAAACAAAGATTGCTCGATTAGTTAACTTGTCATAAGCAGAAGAACGGTTTGTTTTGAATCTATTAACGCGAACTACAAAAAAAAAATGCACGCGAATTCGATAGAAGACTAATCTGAATAAAGACGAAAAATTTCAACCGGGAAGTATCAGTGAAGTATTTCAACTTTTCTATTGGATGGATCTATGTCAAATCGGTAGTACAATGACGCATTTCTCTGCTAGTTTAGAGTACCTAGAACATATTGAGAGAAAAATATCTTTGAAGTACAAACGAATAGAGAAATGTTTTGTTCTTCCTACGTTGTCTAAAACATGAAGAACATTGACAAAATCCGATTATATATATTTAGATACAACATACTTCATTACGTATAATTACAATAGTTTCTTTTTTCTTTCTTTAAAAGATAATTATAGTCAGGAAGATGGAAAGAACTTTGTCTAAATGGATAGTCTTGTGATTTACGCGAGTACTGAATTTTGGATCAGTGAGTTCATCTTCAGTTTATGTAGCAATGAGAAAGAAAAAGTTAAGTTAACGAAGATCTGCTTTTTTCTTTAACATCGACTCAAATTAAGAACTAAGGAGTTGTTTCTTTGAGAACCATAAATGAAGATGTTTTACCCATAGTCTATATGAAACTAAGAATAGAGATGTGAATAAATTATTTAAAAGAAGATCTTTTTTCCGTGAATATGCCTCTGCTATCATGGAGAAGAAAACACCAAGATCAATATTTTCTAATGCATGAATACATTTATAGACGAAATATCGTAGAGGTTATTGAAAAAGTTCTCATTCGTTAACTTTTTTTTTGTTCATAACAAATATTCCAGTGAAGATCTTTTAAAAAGAACATAAGAAGAAATCATTATTTTGAAAGTTCAGATATACAAGCAAAACAACTTCTAATTTGTTTATTATAATCATTTAACTATTTTTCGTTCATTCTTGTTGTTTGGATTCTCGAAGATATCAAAACAGATGTGATCTGTGTAAAAGTAGAAATAGTATCGGCAATTACTCTCCAAACACATATGTGTTCTTTACTAATCTGTTTATGTGAAATACATTCTTTGTTCGTCTATTCGTTTAAATTGATCATTTGTAAACCATTTCGCGAACAATAAAATGAACGTTTTCATACTTTTTTCCTCCAAAAAACAAACAAACTACGAATATCTTCACCTCTACCTAAGAATGTTTTTCTTTTTTTTTATTCGTAAGAAAAGCAAACGATCGAAATACGATTATCAAATTGTACATAACCTCTTAGCCTATGAAACCACCAACGAACGTATAATATCATCAGGGAAGCGATATCTACATGAAAAGAAAAAAGTGACTTTGTTGGTATTCAATGTGATTGGTCATTACAGATAAGAAATCTTGACGGAAGACTTCCTTGTAATGAACTAACGATGGTTCAATTCATTGAATTATATTGATTATTTTCACTGACATAATATCGAAAAAGAAAATAAAGTGCTAAAGCATCAAGTGAATGCCAAACAGCGTGTCCTTGAATAAACGACTTTGAATAACATAATAAAGCATTAGTTTTCGATAAATTATAAATAACAAATGAAATAAGAAAGGTAATAATACATGCAATACCCCATTTCTTTTCAATATTGGATCGTCGAAAGAAAATGATAAGAAGTTCAAAGATAAATGTTGAGAAAATGTAACAAAAAGATATAAAATTCGACAAATACTTAATAGCCACATTTTGGGAGGATAATTGCGAAATAAATTCACGAAGAATAGTAAGAAAAACAAATAAACCAATGAAATATTTAATATGAAGATTAAATAAACGTTGTAAACTATAACTGAAAATAAACGAAGAAATACAAAACATAGAAAGTGAAGCGAATAGTTCACTTGGATATGAATAAAATGTATGCAATGACAATAATCCCAAACAAAGAAAAATAATGATTAATGGAAATAATACTGATATAAAATCACTGCAAATAAAATGATTCGAATATTCTTTGAATGTTTCACGCATTAATTGCCAAGCAATAATCAATCCAACAAGAAGAAATGTTAAACTACTCAACGCATTTATTGGTTCAACGAATAGTTTTCCATTGGATATTTCACAATAACTACCGATAAGTCGTGTTCTACCATGTTTCCATTGTAAAACAAGAAAAACAGAATATATTGATAAACCAATTATTGAGAAAAGCAATGGAATTACAAAAAATAAAACTCTTCTTTCGCCTAGTTTCATGTCGAATGTAAACAAACACGAATACACGAATGGATTGATGTTTTTATCAATACGGTTTGTTCGTTTATTTCGAGTAGAGAGGCGTATGACTCAATTTTCTATTTCTTTTGCTTTCGTGACATTTTATGAAGGAAAAAAATAGGTACATAAAGGTATCTTCATTAAATTATTCAATCGTTTGGAAAGAAACGTATAAACATCCTTCAAAGTGAAATGTTCATTGAATCATTCATTTCAGATTCTTTCTCTCGATTCTCTCTCTCTACATGTATGATATACTCTCGTTTGTATAGTTTGTTTCTCATCCCTCAACTGCATTTCTTCATCATATAAATGTGCATTGAAGCGAATCTTGTTTTCAAATAAAAAAGTGTATCTACTATTACCTATATCGTATTTTTTTAACGACTTTCATTTGTTAAATCAGCGTGGTTGGTAATGGATTTTATCGGAAAAATCTCCATCAACTGCTGCAAATTTGATGTGCATTTGAAAACAAAAGTATATTCAATGGTATTTGTAACCGTCACAATCGGACTCGATTAACGGGATTGACAAAGACTTAACGATGAAGAAATAAAATGAAACTGATTCCTAGATGATTGAAATTTTTGTTTATTTTAAGTTAAAGAATCAATTACAAAATTTGATTTTAATTTCAAAGTTCGAAAGAATTTCTGTAAAACATTTTTCAAGTGCTTTAAAAGTTCATTGATTAATGTTTGATTGAGTGAAAACACTAAACGAAGCCATCCTATAGTTCATTACAATTCAAAAATTTCTCCCCTGAAAAGGAACAAACCTGCCTATGATTGTCGTAATTATTTTGACTTCATCAATCATTTCCAGTGTTGTTTTTACTTGTAAATACTGCTGTGTCAGTCTTAACAATAATAACATGTAGATGATTTTCATACGCAATATTTAATATCGAAAGAGGAGTAATACGTGAATGAAGATCAGCATTTTTTTTTTTTTTTTTTTTTTGTGGCCAAAGGTTTTTTTGTGTAACACAACTGCATATGCACTACGAACCACGCTTTGTAGTTTCCCGTACGCG